GGCAAAAGCACCAGCATCAGAAGCCTTGCAGGCCAGCACAAGCCCGCAGAGGGGACCTGACCGTTGCAGTCTTGCCCAACAGGTGGCAGCAGGAAGGACGTTGGAGCTGCTGACAACACTGATGGCAGTGCATGTCCTGAAGATCTGTGATGCCAAAGTCACACAGTCGCAGCCCAGAGGAGGTCTCTTTGCTTTCCGGGACGATCAGCCGGTGTTCATTCTGAGTGTATGGACAAGCAGAAAAAAATCCTTTGGCTGATGTGGTTCCATTATGTTCCATTGAAGCAGGCAACTTTTCAAGGACGAACCGTCCTCAAAGCCAAATACACAGAGACCCGCACATGCAGATGGAGTGAGCTCAAAGATGTCGGCTTACATTTCCAGGTTGCCAACTGTGCGAATGATCGCCGTGGAGCGAGTGGCTTGGCCTCGATGATTTTTTGTAACGTGTTGCCATCCTTTGAAGAGAGACCCGCAAAAGATTGGTTTTATGTAGCCTTGCGTGCCTAGGCTTGCTGTTCCAGAAGCAACCGGGGGAAACACAAGGAGATCAAGGCAGAGCTTTGCGCGAGAATGCAGCTTTGGCAGCTCGCTGGCAGGCTGGCAATGCAGAGCTAGGTTTGGCCACTTCATGCACAGTTGATCACTCGGTGCGATCCGTTGTGCCAGTGCGTTTGCAGGCGCAACTGGCCGAACGAGCTGCTTCAGTGAGGTATTACCCATCACGCGGCCCCACGCGCAGATGAGAGCCGTTCCTTTTGGATTCTGGACCTGCCATTGCCAGTGCAAGTGGATGGTCGCCGCCATCGCTGCCATACGTGCGCGCACTTGCGCATCTTCGACAACTTTACCGTGGAGACACATGATGTTGTTGCAGCCTATCCTGACCTGCTGGTGCACTACGTGAAGAAGCAAGCCCCTGTTTTGCTGACACGGCGATTCCTGCTCCATGTGTCTACGACCGCCTCAACTCTAGGGCAACGAGGCGGGCTTTGGTGGAGCAAATCTGTGGCAATGCTCTTTCCCTCAATGTAGCTGGGCGCATGAAAGAATTTTGCAGTGCGGTGCCCAAATCTGTATCCATCCGCCCCATTCTCATGGCAGCATTGGAAGATTACACCAAGGCAGCTTCACGCGAGATGCAGCGCAGTGGTTCAGTGATCAGAGGAGATGGAAACCACGATGTAGCAAAAAGGATTACAATGTATGATGAAGCAGGTAGACGGGGCCATCGAGGTAAATCAGAAAATGTAAGTTACATTTTTGAGGTAGCATGTGCCCAAGAATGTAAGTTACAATTAGCTCACGCCCCCCCCCATAAGCAGTAGGGATGATAGGATCATAGATGAGTTTGCCGTTGAGATGACCATCTTCGATTTGGGACATGCCTTGCATATCTGGCGTCGCCAAGTGTGCTTGTGGTTTGCCTTCTATCGCTCCAAGCAAGTCCAAGCCTTGGTAGGCCCCAAAGCCGTGCCAGATGTCAAGACCCCAGGACTTGCAGATTTGGATGCCAAGATGAAATTGCAGCGAGTCATTCTGTCCAATCCTCGATGTGCTGGTCCAACCTCCACTGCGCACATTCGCTCTGTTCTGAAGTACCACTTTCAGAAGGAGAAAGAGGAAAAAACAGCAAAGTACGTCTTGGCAGCAGTCGAAGACCTCTTGAAAGTTGGCATCTTGCAAGAGGTTGACAAGAAGGAAGTGGAAGAACAGGCGCATACAGGCGCCCAAACTTAAGGACAAGAAAAGCGCCAAGAGCAAGGAGGCCACGCTAAAGAGCGAGCCACGAGGCCCGCCAGGTGGCCACGCTGTCCTGTACTACCAGACATGTGCCTGGGAAGACCACTGAGTGCCAATGAATTCAAGTAGGATTCCAGAAATACGAGGCCTTGCACGGTCCCATGTCTAAACTGTCAGCCCAAAAAAAGCGTGACAATGTGCTCCAAAGCACTTGTTGTATATAAGTCTTGTTTCCAAAGATACGCGTCAATAATGGTGCGATTCCTCGAAATTAAGCTCTGGCTTCTTTCCAGCCCGAGCGTGTTCTTGACTCTACGAGGTGAATGCTTTCAATCAAGACTGTAGGGTGGCTGCAACATATTGTGCATCAATTTCAATCAACCCACCCATTTTCATGACAAGACATTGTGGTGTGAAGATCTTACATAGTGGTTCATCATCGTGTCCAAAGCCACATTCAAAACAGTCTGCTTGGCCTTCTAGTGTTCAATCGTGTGCGCTGGTGGCATGAGATTGACAAAGGCCCAATCTACTCTTTTTGAGGCAAAGCGGACAGCCAACACCGCGGCTCCAAAAAAAATTGTGCGGCGCATGTGAAGCCACTGTTCGCTGAACATAGCCGTTCGAGAAGTTGAAGCAAGACACATGTTTTATTTGTTCCTGATCAAGTCCAAGAAAAACATTGAAACTTGCACCGGTTTTTTCTGTTTTCTACCATTTCTGTTTTCTACCATCCTTTTCGACTGCGATATAATTTTTCTGCTTCATGGGGGAAAGAAGACTCACGGGAGTCCTGTCCACACCGACCATGTCGCTGACTCCTGCGTCTGCAGGTGCCGATGCTAAGTGGCACCATGACAATGGCTTCTACCTTAGGGATTCAGCAGATGCTGATGCCAGCATGCGTGATGTTGGTACGCAATCAAATAGAGATGGCACAATAGTCCACTCCTCACTGTGACCATCGGGTCTGTGGTCCCGCGGGGCACGTGCACTGCGCGTCGGTGCGCATTCCCGGAATGGCTGGAGGTTGCTTCCGGTGATGCTTGATGCTTAATGTCACATTGGTGTCATGTAATGTTCAACGCAATTTTTCTAGGACATGTTTAAACATAGTCGATCTTTGTTTGGTCTCATACAGACCTTGTACAAAAGGATCTTGCACAGCAGCGTCTAGAAAGAACCTGTCAAGGAGATCTTGCACACGTCTTCTACAAAGGGAACTTGCAGAATCCAATCTGGTATTGATGCCACGGTGTTTGGAGTCGCCACTTAATCCCCGTCGGCCGCTCCACTCGCCCCACTCGCCCCCCTCGCCCCACTCGCCCCATTCGCCTCACTCGCCCCACTCGCCCCACTCGCCCCACTCGCCCCACTCGCCCCACTCGCCCCCCTCGCCCCACTCGCCCCACTCGCCCCACTCGCCCCACTCGCCCCACTCGCCCAAACATTCCATTCACGTTACCACCTCTATTCCTTTTTCATACTGCTGTGTGGTGAAACCAAAGCAAGCAGGGCAAGCGGGGCAAGCGGGGCAAGCGGGGCAAGCGGGGCAAGCGGGGCAAGCGGGGCAAGCGGGGCAAGCGGGAAGAACCACCGATCTTCCCTCGGCTTGCAAGTAGGGCAAGCGGGGCAAGCGGGGCAAGCGGGGCAAGGAGGAAGATTCACTTATTTTCCCTAGAAGCGGAGCAAGCGGGGCAAGCGGGGCAAGCGGGGCAAGCGGGGCAAGCGGCAGAAATCACTTAGCGGCCCCGCGGGGCACCCACACTGCACCAGTTTTTTCGGTGCCTGAGAGCCTATTTTCATCAACCGACTGGATGGTCCCCCAACCCTATTTTACCAATAGATCCAATAGATCCAATAGTTATCCGATTTATTTTGATCCACCATTCAAGGTTTTTTTCTCTTTCAAATAGGTTTTTAGTTCCACTGCTTGTGTGAACATATGTGAATATATCCCCCAAGATATGCCGATTTATTTGACCGATGCAACCGAAACAAACAACGAACTCCTCAAGGGCTCGTTCTTTTTTTTCGTGGCGCTGCCGGCTGTGTTTTCTCCCTATTTTCAGGGTGTTCTCTCAAATGATGCGGCCATTTTGTTGATACATATGTAATTATAACTATATCTTTACTTGTATGGTCAAAATTCTATAAGTTCTTATTGCTGAAATTCAGCAGTTTCAGCAATTTTGTTAGTTATAGCTAACGTTTAAGGCCCCTTGTTTGTGTTGATGTTTTTGACCATAGCAGTGCCACGTCTCATCTCTGGGTGAACCTTAGTCGAGTTGTTTAATTATTTTCACTTGTAGCAATCCCGCAGTGTAAACACATGATATAATGCCCCATAGTTAGCTAAGTTGGTTTATAACTCCCATAACTATGGTTTATGGTAGATATAACTATAGTTAATGGGGTTCACAAACCAACTTATAACTGGGGGGCACCATCCTGCATGATATAATGCTTAATAGGGATTCAATGATTGTGATATTCATAGGGATATATCTTTCATGGGAATTTATAACCAACAATGAGTGATCTGGTGTTTCTATAACGGGCTATGCCATCTATCATCGGAAAAAAACAACAACACATGGGTAAACTGCCCATTTTCATTTTTTGGGGGGTCCATCGAATCCATCGGTTTCTCGGACGGATCGATGTGAAGAAAATCGCATTTTTGGAGCCATGAAAAAAGCGCTGGGCATCTATAGGATTCGTCATATATCTCCAACATGTTTCTCTAACATGAAACTTCATAATCTTCATATTCTGAAAATCCATAGATCATTTTTCTGTGAATGGTCATGTCCCACCGCCACAATGCGATGTTTTCAGAATTATAAACTAGTTTACAACCCTTCCCATTAACTAGTTCGATATATATATATATATACCTAATCATAAATCCAACAGCTAGCCTAGTCAAAAACCTCAACTTATATAGCGTCTTTTTCAGGAGCCCTTCTTGGAGGTGGCTTATCCATCAATGAATGAATTATGGTTATCACTGAAGCCAGATTATATCCCTATTGTATCCCTATTATATCCCATGGGTGATAAGTTCAATGGGAATTCCAGGATCCTAAAATGGAGGTACTGTACCATATAAGGCCATATTTTGTGGGGATATTCCCTTACATAGGCCTTATATAAGCCTTATATATGGTAGGTACCTCCAATTTAGGTTCCTGAAATGGCCATCGATAAGTTACTAGCCTTAGTGACTGACCACTTCCCATCCACGGGATCGAGGATAGGGATCGACATGAGCTTGAACGACGCAGAGGTCTTGGCCTATGCAGCGCCTGGGGCATCTTCCGTTGGACGAGTCCATGGGGTTCCATGGATCCCCTTAAAATGCTTGGGTTATAATGGACCATCCGAAAAGAACATAGAACCATAGAACCATGATGATTTGGGGGTCCATTATAACCCATAGATGGGGGTACCCCATTATATTATAACCATTATATGTATACATAGAACCATAGAACCATAGAACAAAATACTACCATGATGATTTGGGGGTAGCCCCATTTTAGGAACCCCCCATATATGTATACATAGATATATTTGACACCCTGGGAGAAGGATAAGCCATATCCCATTCATGACCACCTGAACCTTCTTTGGTTTTTCCCTATTAAACCATGGATCATGGTTTCCTGGGCTGCCGATGGGGGTAGGGATATATTCATGTGGGGGACTGAAATTCCTTGCATTTGATGAGATGGCAATGAAAGGTTTTCCACTGGTGATTGTCCACCATAACTGGGTTGTACGGATCCAAATGTTTAAGCATGAATTGCGGTCGTTCAAAAGGATTACCCTCTGGTAAACTAACATAACTATGGAAAATCACCATTTTCAATGGGTAAATCCACTATAAATCACCATTTTTAATAGCTATTTTGACATAACCAGAGGGTAGGGATTTCATCCTTACAACTGGGGGAATTTCGCTACCAAACACGTGGATTTCATACCGCAAGTCACGTGTGATTTCACCAGCCATCGCAATGGGAAGTCCCCTATAAAGGGGCATTGAAATGGGACTTTCATGAATAAAGATGGGGATAAATATCCTTACGATCATGGAGAACACTCAGATTTGTCCATTCAAAAGTATATTTAGAATAATTTAACATAGCTATTGAAAATGACCATAGAAAGAGTGAATTGTCCCATTGAAAATTGTGATTTTCCATAGTTATGTAAACGTTTACCAGAGGGGACTAGTTTTGGACTGCTGCATGCTTTGTATGAACGACGAATTGTCTTCAATCTCTTTTTGGGATGAATATTCATTTGACATACATTTTTTTCTGGGTTCAAATATTCAGGGGGATTTATGATTGTCTCTAGGGATTTACAGATACCTTGTCCCAAAGTGTGTGCTGAGGACCCACCCTTCATCATTGTGGAGAACCTCTTCTGTTCCGCGGCACATTAGTACCATATTGGTACCAAGACTACCCTCTGGTAATTTAACATAGCTATTGAAAATGGCCATAGAAATAGTGGATTTACCCATTGACAATGGTGATTTTCCAGTTCGCTATGTTAGTCATTGCCAGAGGGTAACCCCAAGAAACACATTATGCAACCAACAATTTTCTTTTCCGGGATCATGATTTGAGGAGAAACACTGACTGTCAGCCTAACTGTCAATGTTGCCACGATGGTTGGACGATTGTTTTCGTGACAGTTGTTGCCTCCAACATGTTGGTTTTGTTTAAGCGTCATGTCTAAATGACTTGTCGGCTGAGAAGATGACCCCTGAGCCAAAAAAAATATCACTACAGATCTGCTTCCGTTTGGCAACAAGATGGAGGTTTCCTGAGTCTTAGGGCTACCCCCAGTTATCATTCATTCTTGGAGCCATTTTCCCTCATAAAATCTCATAAACCATCCATTTTAGATTGGGATTTTCCCTAAACCATCCAGCTATTGGGTTACCCCCATCTATGGGGACCCCCCCTCTGAATTCTACCCACTGAATCGATGCCTCAGATCCGGCCATTTTTTTGGGCCAAAGAACTGCTTTGGAAGTGTGGTGTTACTCAAAAAAACTGGGTGCAGATATGGGGTTATATATTTTTGTGGATATATAACCATAGGACATCATATGACCATAGGGGTTATATAGGGTTATATGAGTTATATCCCAAGTTATGTAGGTTGCCATCATAGAAAAATAGCATAAAGATCAGCCGCCAACTGCAGCCTCTAAGTTGTGATAATCCCAAGCACCAGGCCGCAGTTACCACAATTCATCTTCGTAGAGTTTAAGGGAAAGGTTACAGGACCTCCCTTTTTAATTCATCTATGTTTGGGCAACAAACCACTTTGCAACCCGGTAGAATCAGTCGTTTTCTATAGTTTTCGGTTGGTGCCTTGAACCTAATGACATGTTCATTTGCTTTGTCTTCCACTACGGCAGACCTCCGATTTCTCGATATACCCGGTTTGCCTTCGCCCCAACTCTACAAGACGCTGCCTCTAAGCGTCTTTATCAATCGCAATGTTGAGTAAAAATTGGTGCTAGTTGGATATACTGGATATATCTGGATATCTACCATCTTATTTAACATAGTAACATAGCCATGGAAAATCACCATTTTTTTAAATAGGTATAAACCATCTATTTCGATTAGGGCCATGGCTTCCATGGCTTCCATTTCCATCATCTCTGGTCCAATTTTTCCACATCTGCAGCAAGTCTTTTGATTTCCCCATTGTTTGTTTCTGGCAATGGACATGGAGATTACAGTAGCCTCTGGTAAAAAAGAACATCGCCAACGGCCAGCTATGGAAAATGGATGAACATGGGCCATAGAAATAGATGATCTACTTGAATTAAAACCTTCATTTATAAGGGATTTTCCATGGCTATATTTTCCATGATCTACTTGAATCTAGTGGAACAAAATGGTGATGTTTAACTTCAGCTATTTCAGCGATTCGCAGAGGAAAAATCTCGAACACCACGAAACCATGGGATGAAGGATGAGATTTTTCACAAATCAGCTGCGATCATTTGGCTGAAAAAATGACCTGAATTGCCTGGAACATAATGTATATATATATATACGTACTATGACTATATAGATGTGAAATGAAATTCAATGAAACAGGACACCTGTGACAAACAGTGGAATGAAAGAAACACGATGTTTAAATGTATCCACGCCAGACTACTGATAGTAGAATCCCTAATGAAAAGATCGATCAAATAGAATTCAGAAAAACAAGCAGTTGCAACCAACAAATGATGGCACACAAAGAATCTTTCTGTTCTGATGTTTGCTCATGTTTGCTACTTGGGCTATGTTGACCGTCTACTCCCAATGAGCAAATGCGTGTTTAAATCCTCAAAAAGCATCTTCAAATCAGAAATATCAATCAATATATCTATCGATATATCTAACTTCTCTAACCACAAAAACATGGCTTTACATGTCAAAAAGTCATAGACATCCCCCGCTAAGTTGCCTTAAAAGTGGCTGAAGTCTATGGTTTATGGTAGATACAACAAACTAGTATTCATGGGCTTTATAAACCAACTAACATAACTCTATGGTTTATGGATATAAGTAACTAGTATTCATGTATGTTTTTTAAGGGGTGAAACTAAACCAACATTCACATCACGTTTGGGGGCACCATCCTATACCCATATAACACTATAACTATCTGGTTGGTGGTTTGGAAGATGTTTTTTTCCGTAGATTGGGAATAGTACCCTCTGGTAATTTAACATATATAGCTATTGAAAATGGCCATTTGTAGTGGATTTTCCCATTAAAAGTGGTGATTTTCCATAGTTATGTTAGTTTACCAGAGGGTAACCCCAACTGACGAACTCATATTTTGTTAGAGGGGTAGGGCTCAACCACCAACCAGATAATACAACAATAATCCCAGTAAGTAGTTTGCCTCTTCACAATCAACGGTGGACTATGCCGGCAAGAAGAACAAGATTAGCAACCTAACTATGGAAAATCACCATTTTCAATGGGTAAATCCACTATTTCTATGGCCATTTTCAATAGTTATGTCAAATTACCAGCTGGTTATTTATAGGGGCTTATACTACCCAATATATTGAGGATTATAATAATCCAAGAACGGGGAATCCCTATACAACCAGCCAGATGGGTATAGTCATGGGTATAGTCATGGGAATCCCTATAGTCATGGGTATAGTCATGGATGGGATAGTCACATGGTATTTTTTGACCACCAAACTAACCATCAACCTCATCAAATCCACTATACATGGCCATTTCCACTACAGGAGGGTGCCCCCCAGTTATAAGTTGGTTTATAAACCCCATTAACTATAGTTATATCTGCCATAAACCATAGTGAAATGGGAGTTATAAACCAACTTAGCTAACTATGGGGCACCACCTTGTATAAATCCACTATAAATCCACTATAAATCCACTATAAGTCCACTATAAATGCCCATTTCAGCAGGTTGTTTTTTCTTCTTCGAAATCGTGGTACGCTTCGTTGCCTTCACCCGAGCCTCCATGGCCTTCGGGGACAGATGGTTCGTGTGCGGGGCCCCCCTTTTTTGGGCGCGGCTGGATGGGAGAGTTGATGGCGACCAAAACCATGGTTTAACCATCAACACATTGGGATTTCATATGATTTTAATATGCTAAAAAATGGGACCAAAAAATGAAAACCTCTAGAGTCTGACTACGAAAAAAATAACTCACATAACTATGGAACATCAGCATTTTGGAAGTAATAATCGAAATTAATGGCCATGTTGATGACGCATGATTGATATATGATATATGATATAACAGGATATAACATGATAACAGCTGTTTATAGTAAATCCCATTGTGGTAAATATGAAGGGGATAAATATGATGTGATAGCCTGGTTCACACACATTCCTATTATGAGGGATCTACGGTCTACTCGCTATTTTTACTATGTATATATAGGGACTATGAACTGACCCCTTATGGAATACCTACAAACCAACTAGTATTGCATGGAAAGACATTTCGGGTTTTGAACGCTACGAAAACTAGTTCTACAGGCATTATTTTCTTCTTTTTGGACAGTGATAGAAAAAGTCGCCAGCCACTAGCAACGTATCACTCTGCATCAGTAATCTCAAGGCAAATAATCCATACACGCACAAATTCTTCCCGAGACTGGGGTCATTATATCATACACTATCAGATATTAGTCATAATACCTATTTTGAGGTTACTGAGTACGTGTTTACCACATGATCCAAAAGATAGGAGAGCTTCTTTTAATTTCATGTACGAGCACACTTCCACTGTGAATCTCTTGTTCTGCCGATTTTTAGTGCCACCTACTTTTGTACGCGGCATCTATTGACCGTTGACTGAACTGCACCTCTTTCTTGGCGTTTCAAACATCCATTGGCAAACGCTCTTCAGCGAGAACCATCCATATATCCAAACCTAAAAAAACTCTGCAGCTTCGTCAAAGGCATGAATTTTTTGGTCAACATAAGGCCGAGGCGTTTTTTTTAATTGTGGTATTAAACATCTCATTTTGGGGGCACCAATTTTTGACCCGCACCCATACGTGCCATGGTGAAAAGTTGAATCATGAACTCATATTGTGGGATGGTCATCAATCCATTGATGTTTGGAATTTATAGACATCCACTATGTTTGAATTTCCATGGCATGGGATTTTTATGACCTTGCCACATGAATCCCGCGTAACTTGACAGTAGCACATGTAGATCTGGATTTTTTTCTGACTGTCGCAGGGGGTTCCTTCTGGATTTCTCAAACCGTTGTTGAAAGACCCAGCAGTATTTTGAGTTGGTCTGAAAATAGGGTACCCATGGGTACCCCAAAATCCACTGGTGAGTATTTGTATGTCACATCATATGTATGTATTTGTTAATCATCATTTTCTTCATAGAATTGGATGATGGGAAAATTGAAACCGGAAAGCCCTTTGTCTTTGATGGTAAAAACCCATGGGTTTCCGGTTAAGATTTTCCCTTAAACCAATCCAGTGATTTCTCATATTTTCTCCATTAAAGTAGTCATCTTGGGTTAAATCCTCAAGTTGACACCGCGTAGGTTCGATTTGGCGCTGGTGGTGCTGATGGCGGCTTGGTGAAGCAACGGCAAGAACGATAAATATTGGACAACCATCCATCATCAGAGAAACATCCATCAACATCCATAAAGAAACTTTATATAAACATCCATCAATTATGGTATCCATAAGTCGCCCAAGCCATCCATTTTCTGGTAAGGCTTTCTGGACTTGAAAAAAGGGGGGTTTTCCCATAGATCCCATAGCACAACCGCAGGTGGCTGAAACCTGGATCATGTTTCTGGTGGTTCGCATCTCTACGGATCCCTCCCAGAGCCAGGAGCAGGCGTGGTTTTCCTGGGTGACTGGGGCTGGATGGGGGCTGGCTTTTCTGATGCTTATGATATGACCATATATATATATATATGTATATCAGAAGCTGACCTCCTTTTTTGCATAACCTGGTTTTGGAACATTCATTTCATACAGAACCTGGTTATATATGGTTATATATATATGATTATATATATATATGGCTAGATCTGGTCTCATAGCACAACTGAGGAGAGTTCATATACCTATCTTTTTTGATGCACTATATCTGATGGGGATTTCTGAGGACCAATGGGACACGATTTTCATAGCCATGGGGGTTTCCATAGCGGGAATACCTCGCTGGAAGGTTTCATGGAAAATCCGACCATAAAATGGATTTGGGTAGGCCTGTTTTAGGACACCTCCACTTGGATCTGGGAATATCTGGTTGTTTTTTCATGGTTTTTTCTGACTTGGGATTAAGTTATGAATACAAGGTGATGCCGCCTGGCTGTAAGTTGGTTTTTACCCATCTAACTATAGTTATTCTAGTTATAAAACATTATAAAACCAACTTAGCCAACTCGGGGGACACCAGCTCGTAGGAACAGAAGGTTGAAATCCGAGTTTTGGGCATTGAACATGTACCAAGTAACTGAGTAACTGTGCCAAGTGGCTGACCTGGAATCGCTTGGTGCCCCAGGAAACGATCACCTGCAAAAATGATGATTTCACCTATCAAAATGATTCAAAATGTGGTTTTCGAACTAACACAGTTGGTTTAGAACTGGGATTTTCTGTTGGGTTGATGGGGATGAGGGGCCCGGAGAATAAGGTAATCACCAATTTGAAGAACTGATCAAACATGAACCACGAAGCGGGCCCATTTTTTCATCCCTTTCCTTCAAAAATAGATGTCCTGCAAAAGAACTATTGGGGTAATAAATAATATATATATATAATATTATATAATATATAATATTATATATATAATATTATATATATAATATTATATATATATAATATTATATATTATATATACATATATATATACATATATATATATATATCATGATATATCTACTATACCACTACATTTTCCCATTGATCACCAGAAAAATCACCCGGTTTTAGAATCAATCCTTGCAATTTTGTTGGACCAGACATGGATCAGCTAGCTCGAATGACATGTTTCCTTTAACCAATCCGTTGATGACCTGCAACTTCACTTCACTGTAGGGCTAGATAATCTACCATCCATTATTGTGGTAACTTAAGAACATAGATCTGGAAAGAAGACGATTTTCTAGATCTGTTTTCTAGGGGAACTCTTGTGAATATACCATACCAGAGGGTCTGGCTGCTAGGCCTTTGATTCGTCAGTGTTGCGGCTACTGAAGTTGCTTGCATGGATTCTTGCGGCTACGGAGACAGGATTATGGGGAGTTTGCGGGCGATGGTCAAATTGGGTGAAGAACTATATGGAGGTTTCCACACATGGGGGTACCCCCATAGCTGGATGGTTTACAATGGAAAATACCTATGAGAATGGATGATTTATGGGTACCCCTATTTCAGGAAACCACCATATGATAGAATATAAAGCCACTTTCAATGCAGCAATGATGGTTATTGCAAACCAGTTAAATACAATGTTTGAGTGTATAAAAAGAACAACACATTACCATGGGTGAAGAAGGATTCTGATGGTACATATATGCAATGATAAAGACTGGTAAATATTAGATGGTGGGTGAATGATCACAACCTCATCGCGACCTCACTGCAGATGATGTCGGCCTCTTTTATCAGATTGGTGAATTCGGAGAAACTCATCGAGTCGATTAAACATTGCGCAACTACATTGCGTAGCCAACAGTATTGGTCAACAGAGAGCACAACCTCCATGGTGAAGACGGTTCCAATGAAAACCTGGGACAGTGCGAAGAATTTTCCGGCCAAGAATCGGCCTCACCTATGGGGGGGTTCAAAGTGGAACACATCTCAAGCGATGCCAAGCGATACCCACTTCTGGCCATTTTGATCCGTCGTCCTTCATCATTTATACGGCCGACTTTTTTACTCTCATTAAATCCCGTGAAATCAGATCTCGGATCCTATGATATTCCATGAAATCTGATGAAATCCCATGAAATCTGATGAAATCCCCATCAAATCCGCATTAAAACCCCCATTTTTGATGGTTAAAACTTTCCCCTCATCACAGGGTCCCACACAGCATTTGGTCACCGTCATAGGTTGGTACGCATCACGCGCGTGGCGCGAATCGCGCGGCTGCTGCGACAAGTGCCCGAGGCGGGTCTCATCAACCGTGAAAAGGTCAAAACATGGTATTCCCATAACTCTTTAGTTAGTCAGGTATGTATATTGTGCATGTTGTGTATATAATTATATATATATATTGTATACAAAAATATATTGTTTATGATATATTTTGTATTTGTATTATATATATAAATATTATAAAATATTATATTATATTATCTCATATTATAATATATTATATTATATTATATTATGTTATGTTATATCATATTATATATCATATACCATCAGCCAATTTGGAAAGTACCGTCAGCCTCTCAGTCTCAGGGGGAACTCAAATGGACTCAAATAGATTATTTAACCACTAACATTATGATAACACTGTTTACCCCGAAAATGTACTCATATTGACTCTCAGACAACTTATTTAATATCAAATTCCAAGATTTTGAACTCGACGTTTCCTAGCGGCCATTTGGTCCCCTAGGGCCATTTGCCTATGAATTATCGCATTGACGGGGTAGAGGGGCTGGTTTGGCTGCTTTCTGGCTTAATTTGCAGCCGTTTTGCTAGTTGGAGATATCTCATATTTTAGCAAATTAAAAATCAAACTGTTTGTGGTGTGTGTGTGTGTGGAATCATCAAACATACCTTAAATCGTTCTATCCAAAATGCAACACGAACCCTGGCGTTGACTACTGTGATTTGACTGGTTTGACACCTATAACAAGCTTGAAAACGATAGAACTTGATAGAACAGTCAGAACAGTTTGATCCTACTGACATAGTGATAAATTGAATCTTTTCGGAATCTTTTTTGGATATATTATATTATATATACATATGATATATATGTAATATAAGTATTTGGGCTATGCGAACTCCAGCAAACAGCCATCGATTCCTGCGATGCAGGTCATGATCCTCTTGAAAGGAATCGGCGTGGCGTCACGCTCGGTGTCACTTGCCGAGCAAGCCGTATTTTTTGGGTTTCATACGGTGGGTGACATCCACACTATGATCAGTATGTTTGGACAGAGATGAGGGATATGTACTATCTTAAAAAAAACAACCATGTTTTTTTCCCGATTTGGCATCCAAGGTCCGAGAAGATACCGCAAACAGATGGCGTAGAGTATAGCCGCCAGTTCAATTGGGGATTTCTAGGGACGTTCCAATGATTCTACGTACTGTACAAGGTGGTGCTCCGCAGTTCGCTGAGTTGGCTTGTGACTGTAAATCTTGGGTTTATTGTAGCTATATCTAGTCTAGAGTCTAGAGTTAATGGGGGCTATAAATCAACTGTTAAATGGAGGGTCCCACCTTGTGCCTACCTAAACTTGGAGGTATTGTGCCATATTCTGGTGGGATATATATATATACATATTTTGCCAGGTAGCTCCAATCTCTGTCTGGGACAGTTTCCCTCATAGTGGTATATAAACTATGTATAACCCATGAATCTAAGCCATTAGTCTAACTAAGTGATACTATATATATATTATATGTTCATTGTAAATATACATATCCACATGCACCACACATATATATAGTTATATCATTACATTATAAATATATATATATATAATTATATATATATATTTGTACTCCCACATGCAAGCCATGTCTTTCTATGATCCATCTACAGCCGCTTTTGTGGATTTTTGACACAACAACCTGAGGTTTTTCACCTGCCTCATCCTCTTGTGCCGTGGCAGCAGCGGAGAGGTGGACCGTCCTGGGTGTTCTTCAAATTGGTGGTACCCCAAATGGATGGTTTATAATATATGGATAATATATGGATAATATATGGATAATATATGGATAATATATGGATAATATATATCTATATATATATATGAATGGATGAATATCCAACAAAAATGGATAATAGTCATCTTATATATGGAAATCCAACAAACATGGATGATTAGTGTATATATATATCCCATAGTATAAACCAAGATTATGTGTGTGTACATATATATATATATATTGATAAATGCAGCTGTAAAAAAAACTAGATAGTATCCCATACATTAGAATATCCCAAATACTATATACTCTCAGTAAATTAGCAGTTCAACTGTGGTAGAAAACGGGGTTGGAAGATGAGTGAAACCACTCAACATGGGTAACATTTTCAGGGTCGAAGTAGGAACTTACCAGAGGGTGTATATATACACCCTCTGGTAAACTAAAATACCTTTTGAACATGGCCATAGAAATAGTTGATTTACCGAACTAAAAATGGCGGGTTTCCATAGTTATGTAAGTTTACTAAAAAGTCACATATTCTCTATATCTGTATAAAACGTATATATATATATAGATCTCTGTTTATATATATAACGATACATGTCGAGTTTCTTTTAGTTATTAAGTTTCTGCGGACTACCAAGGATTGACCATGTAACATGATCTACATCTGTATATATACCCTCCGGTGTCATCAAACATGGCTTGCTGGACACTTTATGATCTCGTTCGATGATTTTACCATTAAAATTGATTTCTCCATTTGGAGCATTTCCCATTGCCATGTATATGTATATGTATATGTATATGTATATGTATATGTATATGTATATATTTATATACATGTAGAGTTAGTTCTTTTCACCATGTTGTTTAGAGGAAACAATGGTTTTTACCATGAATTAGAGGGGTTTGTAATTTTTTAAGCCAATCCATTGAAGTTGGGAAAATCGCAAACAGCCGTATTCTCTTTTGGTGACCTCCCAGTTGGCACGCCTTGGTGTTCACCAAGAGTTTTAGTACCACAAAGATGGGAGCTTCGCAACAGTCAGTATATGTTTAATATATGGTTAATATATGTTTAATATATGGCTAATATATGTTTAATATATGGCTAATGTATGGTTTATATCTGGTTTACATATGTTTATATAAACTATATATATACTTGGATGTGCATCCTAGGCATTGGATCCGTGGTTGCTATTGCTCAAAACACAGGTTGGATGTGCTTCCAATTTGTCAAGAAGTCTTAAATAACAATCTCAAGACCCAGTTGCATATATTTATCCTAGGGCACATAAACATACAAAATAATGTGGACAACCCATGGTTTCCCTAGGAAATAAATCTACAAATGGCGGGTTTTCCACCTCTATAGTAAACCTAGGGCCAGTAGGGTAGATATGGGATATACCCCAAAAGTATCTGAGTTATTACCTACCATTTTTGAGATGCATTTTACAAGTGTAGATCACATTCCACATCATAACTTGTTGGTAATAACGTATTTTATTCTACTAACTGGTTTGTAGGTGTCATTTCTCAAGATCACATTCGTGTTCTCTTGCCTCGCTCGGTTTGCCTGGATGATCCTGCGAGTTCGTAGATGTTGAGTCATTAGGTTCTAACCCTTTACAAGCTGAGGCCCCCGTTTACGATAACCCAGTTGACTTATACTTAACTCAGTCAACTACTATTTATGGGGATATAAACCTTTAGTTCATAAGGTTTATACACCGCTTATTGCCGGTGGGACCCGACCTTGTACAACTTGAAGGCAGTATGGATCATAAGTGATGATAATCAACTTACTGACCATATGAATATCCCACAGGATCCTCCCAGTTATGTTTGTTGGTTTCAAATCCTAGCTATGGATACATCTACCATAACCCAGCAAATAATTGAACTAAACCAACTTAGCAAACGACATCCACATTATTTGGTAGGTTAAATCACCTATTGAACTCTTGGTGAGTCCCATGAACTCTCCATCAATGAAAACCATCAAATCCCATGAAACATCCCATGAAATATCACCAGAAATCTGGTGAATCCCACTAAATCACCATGAATTTACCGTTAACTCACACTATTGGTTGGTGGTTTTAAACATTTTTTATTTTCCATTTCATATATGGGATGTCATCCTTCCCATTGACGAACTCCATCATTTTTTCAGATGGTTGAAACCACCAACCACTAATGATATATATATATATATAATATTACCTGTATATAAGCCATATATTATATTGCCATATTATTACATATATAAAACATCTACTAAATCACCATTTCTCTTGGTGAAAAACCACCACTTTCTTGGTGCTAAAACCCCAACACCCCCCCTGCCCGCGTAACCTGCGTAACGAGGTGCGTGGTCTACATCTTCGCCATCGCCTTAACGCAGCTGTCGGAAGATACCAAGCTGGGGCAGACCTACTTTCCCACCCTGGCGGATGGCATGCGACTCGAAATGGCGACGGATGATTTTTAGAGATTTCGAGATCAAAACCATGAGATTTTCATGGGAATTCACAGGATTTCTACAGGATGGTGCCCCCCAGTGATGTTTGTTGGTTTATAAACCCCATTAACTATAGTTATATCTGCCATAAACCATAGTTATGGGAGTTATAAACCAACTTAGCTAGCTATGGGGCACCACCTTGTAATGGTTTTAATGGGGATTTAATGGACATGCGTGGGATTTTTGGCAAAAACCTCAAGGATACTCCATGTGGATGGGAGATTTTATTTTGGATGATCAATGGGATTCATGGTCTATATATTTATAATCAATGGGATTCATGGTCTATCTTGACTAGTCATAAAGTGGTGCGTGCCCCTGTTCGTGAGCTAAGTTGGTTTATATCTACGTAGAGATATATGGTTGGGTTTATGGTGACGAAAGAACTATAGCCAACTATAGCTACATAGGGTTTGTAAACCAACTTATAATTGCGGGATACAACCTTGTAGCTGCCCTTGTGGTCGGTGGCATTCCGAATCCCAAATAGGGTTATCTTATATATATATCTATACACATATAAGTCATGCAGTACCTTGCACTTGAGGTATTTTGACAACTCGTTTAGGTACTTTACAACTGCATGAATATTATGTCAAATTCGAAGGAAGGTACAACATGCTTCTGTAGTGGAACCAACCAGTTTTGCTGGATGCTGGAGATATCAGATAGCATAGCTTAGGCTTAGATGTTCTAAAGGTGTTTTTTCTTAATCTTCCCATTGGTAAATCCACTATTTAGGGAATGTACAGTTTGTTTTGCCAATTTTTCCTTCACCACGGAGATTGGAGTTTTTGGCCATGTTTCACCAGCAGTTTCGCAGAATTCCCAGGGCACGGGTCAGATCGTTTTGGGTGACCCCATATGACTGAAAAAAATGGGTTGAATTGGTGAAATCACTGAAATTCCCATGGAAATCCCCATGGAAAGTCCATTAAAAAACTACCCGACCATCTTTTCACCACCATCCCCAAAGAAAAAACTGATGCCTTGGATTTATATAATATATATGGGGTTTATAAACCAACAAACATATGGGGTTTATTATAATATATAATGCCCACTACCCAATCTCGTGGAATTTTTCGCCCAGTGGATTCAGGTTCTCATTGCTCTTCCACGGGTGCTTCTTTCAAGGCTGGATCTCTGGAGAGAACTGGCTACAGAATTTTCGCATCGAACTAATCTTCTGCTATAAACGATTTTAAATGGATATGCACATATGTAATTCTGTATATATATATATATGTATATATATATATGTATATACATATATATATGTATGTATATATATATATGTGTATATGTATACATATATATATATATGTATATATATGTATATATACACATATATATATACATTATATACACAGATAGTAATCAGCTAAAAAGAAAATATTTTTCATGGAATGCCTGGATGGATAGGAACCATATTAAGACGAAGAATGTCAATATGGGTTGGGTGTCAGCCCAGAAAATTGCACTTCAAGCAACACGTATTGTTTTTACTTAGGTTCCACCAAGAAAACCCTGAATCGGATTCATCGAGTGTGTTTACGAAACCATGGGATCCTGCACTTGGGATATTTCAAGTGATTTCTTTTTGTGGCTCTGGGTCAAAGTAATTTCTCCCGTACAACTCGTTTTTTCAGGGTAAATCACACCCATAGGTAAGTCACAACCACCTCGTGGGGGCGGATACTCGATGGGACAGACATTTTATCGACATTTTACAAGGTGGTGCCCCATAGTTAGCTAAGTTGGTTTATAACTCCCACAACTATGGTTTATGGCAGATATAACTATAGTTAATGGGGTTTATAAACCAACAAACATCACTGGGGGGCACCATCCTGTACCGACCTTTTATGTATCAAAGTTCGCGTTGGCAACGGTATCGCAAGGGTATCGCAACAGTGGCGAGAGCAAACCTGAATGCTTCGATCCAGTGCCACAGTGCTGAATGATCAGACGGAGATGCTTTTTGAAGTGGCTTTTCAACCCTTGGGTAGTCTTTAAAGGGCGTCATTTCTGCCAGAAAATGGGGGAAAAAAAATCCGCTTAGTTGAATTCTTGCTTGGTATCTACTTGTTGGTTGATCCTACTCAACCCCAAGCAGATAGACAGGCAATTTGCGGATGGATCACACCAATTATCCCATATTTGAGGGGATGGGCTTACACACATCTCAGTTATTCTGGTGTTTTTGCGGAAGAGTACCCAGGTTTTGGGACTTATGCCATGTACCACGATTTTCGTAGCCTTGAGCAGGCGTATCACACAGCAAATTGTGTTTCTTTGTATTACCCTCTGATAAACAAACATAACAATGGAAAATCACCATGTTTCATGGGTAAGTCAACTATTTCTATGGCCATGTTCAATAGCTTTTTGTGTGTTTACCAGATTTATAGTGGATTTTCCCATTAAAAATGGTGGATCTTTCCATAGTTAGCTGCCCTTCTGTATCCCCAAAAAATGGGAAAACCAGGGCAACATGGATAACTCGGATGATGTCCTGGGCCCTCTTTTTTAGAAACACCTATATAAATTTAAACACATATGGATATGTATATACATATGGATATGTATACATATATATATATATGTATACATATATATATATGTATATTTAAAAAATATATGCATAATATATATATATAATAATCTTCCCCATATATCTATATCCATTGATCCGGTTTTAATTTTTGATGGGTTAACATCTCCCAATCTTCAGTAGCAAGATTTCCGCAATAGTCACCAATGTCACCCTCACTGTCTCAGCATGTGAGGCATGAAAAATACAAGGTGAGGCCCTCCTCGTTTACGACGGCTACGTTGGTAGCTTTGTCAACTAGGGTTTATGGGGAATAAAACTGTAGTTATGGTTTATGAATTAACCAACTTATAACTGACATTCATTAACCATCCATGAATTATTAGTGAATGCCATGTGAGCAGTGTTCAAAACCCCTGTTGGTTGATGATTATAGGGGATTATACTATATTATACTACCCAATATATTGGGGATTATAATAATCCAAGAACGGGGCATCCCGTTAAAATAACCAGCCAGTATTTCATGGTTCATGATAGAGGGATGAATTGCACACTGCTCATGTTAGTTCATCAACTTAGAACTGGGGATCCTCACCTTCGTACGGATACCGATCAAGATCAACTGGCCATGGGGACGCCTGGTGTGTCGCAGTTTTTCAGGCCTTCCGGACTTTGCAAAGCTGTGCTTTCAGGCGCCGTTGGGGAACTTTGGCTTGGCTTACCATCAAACATGGCAATTTAAGGGTGGTTTAATTGGTGATTAATGGAGTTTAATGGGATTTAATGGGATATACTGGGGATAAAATGGGAAAAACACATATATATATATACATTATATATATATAACTTTCTTGGGGGTGAAGTCAGGCTTAAAAGACGGGTACAACCATGATAACAACCCCCGCGAGGTGGAATATAACCCCGACCACTATGTTTATGCATCCACTTAGAACACCAACTGCACCCCCAAGTAAGAGGGCTGAGTTGAAGCAAGTTGAAAGGAGGTTAAGGACACATCGCAACCCTAAAAGTTACAAACACAAATTTATACACTACTAAAGTAGTGGTGAACTTAAAGTCTTCTAGAGTTGTCGGCGTTACTCTATTGAGGGAAAACAAAAACAGCAAACACGGGGATGCTCACAAAAATGGTGATGGGGATGTATATGAACTCTATATATTTCAGCGCAATTCTGGAAGCAGCAGCAAGCACATCCAACTCTATAGGCACAGTTTCAAAAAAATGCTGGCCATAGTATACTTCGCCTTTTAGATCGGAATCGATGGCATTGAATACCAATGGACTTTTCATATAGAAATAGATCCAATATGCAGACAGATGTTGTAGAGACGGTTCTGCAGGAATGTATATTCACCATTGGAATTTGTTCCATAATATGCCCTTAGGGCCTTAGGGCTTCAAAAAGAGAGTAGCTCCATGTGGGACATTTTGTTTTTTAAGCATCTCCGGGGACTCAAACGTGAGGTTACAAGAGGCCCAAACGTTACGGTAACGACATTTGGATATGTGGAGGGCCAGAACGCGAGGCCCCGGAGGTAGTATGAAATACCAGTTCGTATATTTAAATGTAGTTACCATATGTATAAGTTGGTGGTTTGGAACATTTGGATTATTTTTCCATACATTGAGAATAGTAATCCCTTTCATGACGAACTCCATCATGTTTCAGAGGGGTAGGTATACCAGCTCAACCACCAACCAGTATGTATAAGATTGTATAAGTTGGTTTATAGACCTCTCAACTAGTTACTTGTGACCCACAAAAAGGGATGGGTCAAAACCCCGCGAAAAGCGATGATTGGAGCTACCTACCATAGACCAGAGGTCGTTCAGGGCGAAATTTCAGGGACTATCCCCAGAAAATATGGCCAGAAAAATGGTATAAACACGTAGCTCCATGTATTAGATCCTGAAGATCTCCCATTGACAGAATTCACCCAGTGAAATTTGCACTCAGATTCATGGGGGCCTCACCTTATACCTCTCAGATTCATTCAGATTCATGTGCCAACCAGCTGGGTTTTGTCTTAGGTACGCCAATAGGTTATTTCTTGATTTGGCTTTTGTACCCGGAATATCTCCGAATTTGTATATACCCACTGGGGAATTAACATAGACCCTGAACATACACCATTTTTAGTGCATATTTAGTGGAAACAAATCCTCCAATCCCTATCTGCCAGGGTCTATGTTAATTTTTTGGGGGTATATATATATATATTTATAGGTATTTATATATTTATAGGTACCTTTTGGTAATTTAACATAGCTATTGAAAATGGCCCAGTCGAAATAGTTGATTTACCCATGATATAAACATGGTGATTTTCAAGTTCGTTATGTAAACGTTTACCAGAGGGTATTGCGGGGGTATAGTTGCTGTTAATGATGGCTACTGTATTCATTGTTTTTGAGCTGCAAGAATTGGGGGTGTCCGAGAATTTCGGCAGGAGAACTTCATGTACGGCTTCTCCTTACTGGTCTTTGTGGTTCTGGCGCCCTTAACGGCCCTTTGGCGCCAAGGAGTTTGATGCAGATCCCGTGTGTTAACTAGGGATTTGGATAGCAGTCGTATCTAAAACATTGGGGATTTTCTTCGTTTTGTTGAATTCTAATCTAGCTGGTTGGTGGTTTCAAACATGAATTTTATTTTCCATCATATATATTAATATATGGGATAATCAATGATAATCCTTCCCATTGACGAACTCCATCATTTTTCAAGATGGTTTTTGCACCACCAGCCAACTTTCAGAGTTCACTCAGTTGAATCAGTTGAATCCCCATCCCCATGGCCCTATGGTGATAGATATGTGGTAAATCACTTCCTCAATATTTTTGGTACAGGATGGTGCCCCCCAGTTATAAATTGGTTTATATATCCCATTGACTATAGTTATATCTGCCATAAACCATAGTTGTGGGAGTTATAAACCAACTTAGCTAACTATGGGGCACCACCTTGTATGTGGCAATGGTCCCTACGTCCTGCCCAGATGATAGATTTTATATGTACGAAACATATCGAAACATCCCCTCCGAGAGGTTACGAAATATCAACTTCCGACAACGCACAGGATATATCATAACTGGTTGGTGGTTTGGAACTTTTTTTATGACTTTCCAAATATTGGGAAAAATAATCCCAACTGACGAAATCATATTTTTCAGAGGGGTAGGTTGAAACCACCAACCAGATAAAGGTGATTAAATATCCCAGTGATATCCCAGTTAAATGGCCTCTGGTAATTTCACATATCTATGGAAAAGCAGCATCTTTTTGAATGGGTAAATCAAGCAACTCCGGCTTTGACCATCGCTACCATAGCCAATTGTGGAATTGCCGGAGGGTATCCCAAACACTCCCAGGTGATATCAACGTAAAAATCAACTTACATCCCAAGGATATCAGCTAAGATATTCCAATTATATACATATTCCAGTTAACCACTGTTAAAAAAAAACACCAAACATTCCCAGGAGCAAATCCTGTATTCCAAAATATACCTATACCTATATCTATACACAAATACATCATTTATATTCCATTATACCCCATTATACCGATACCCCATTCTACCTATAATACCATGATGTCCCACGGCCCAATCATTGGCGATTAACAATCTGGTGATGAACTTAGGTCATATCAGCTATCTCAAGTATCCCTCTATAGTCCACATCAAGTCATTTGAACACACACACATATATATATACACCTACAATCCTACATACATACGTGCATGCATGCATGCATCCATCCATCCATACATCCATCCATGCATACATACATACATACATACATCCATACATCCATCCATCCATACATCCATCCATCCATACATGCATGCATGCATGCATACATACCTACCTACCTACCTACCTACATACATTTCTTTCCGCAGGGGAAGTCCGCTTCGTGCTGACTTTCAACTGCACAGAATATACACATATACATACATTTACACATTATCATTATCATGTGTGACTCCATCCCTCAAACTTTCCCAGGTGATGAGCATGATGAATTTTGGCTTGTATCCCACTGAAATATCCCAGTGATTAAAAAAATCAAGTTAGATATCCTCCAATCATCCCAGGTGATGCACTATAGATATGTGTACCACAAGTCCTAGTGGATAACTATTAGTGTAATTGTAGATAACTTTAGATAATTCCCGGGTGATTAATAAGTCAGTCATGCATCCCCAAGTATTCGTTTGTATCAAGTTACATATCCCAGCAAGAAATTCGAGTTACACCCTGGTAATTTGTTACATAGCTATTGAAAATGGCAATTTATACTTTTTCATTACCCCTAAAACATGGTGGTTTTTCATACTTATGTAAACGTTTACCAGAGGGTAAACCTCCTAGTCCCATCCAAGTCACAGATTTTTACCCCCCAATTAGGCGATGATAATTATAGGTAACTATAGATATACCCCTAAAATCCCCAGCTATAATCAGCTTAGTATATTCGAAATGGCCCATGTATAGATGATTTTCCCAGCTAGAAACCTCCATTTATAAGGGATTTTCCATGGCTATGTTAAATAACCAGATGGTAGTATATTCGAAATCACCTATATCAGCTTGGATATCCCAATGATTTTCCACTCATCACCGAACATGATCCACTTATATCAACCTATATCGGTTTACAGTATATCCCAAGGAAATATCCAGGTGATATCAATAATTATATAACTATAAACATATCCCAAGCAATGTCCAAATATATTGCAACCAAACCTGCCAATCATCCCCCAAAAAATTCCAGGTGATGAACCAATCATATATACTATGTATCTGAGAATAGATGATTATAGATAACAGATATGGAGGTTTCCTAAACCATTCATTTTAGATTGGGATTTTCCATGAAATGAACCATCCAGCTATTGGGGACCTTTATTTTGGGAAACCTCCATATATCATCTGGTTATTTAACATAGCCATGGAAAGTCCCTTATAAATGGTTAGTAAGGGAAATCATCCCCAAATGACCTTAATTCAGGTTAGTGAAATATTGTAATTTACCCAGACATATCCTCAAAAAATCCCACGACATTCCCAGGTGATGAACATGATCGTTGGCGTCTTGGTCGAGGTCGTGGGGATCGTCGCGGCGGCCGAACAGGAGGCCTCGACCCGGAAGTCCCTGCTGGAGAGCCTTCACAAGGCACGACGTTTGGGGATTCGGGAGTTCATCCGGCAAATCCCTTGTAAAATGTGGGAAAATCATAGGAACATATCGCAAAATCCACTACAAATGCAAGTTTGAATGGGGAAATTGTAGGAAAAGATGGGGAACATGTGGAAAATATTAAAAAGGGGTTTCTAGTTGGGAAAATTATCTACACACCGGGATTTCACCAAACTATATGTAACACTAAATCGATGTGTATGTATATATATATATATAAATCATGCCTTGACTCAGAATTGGGAATATTTAATATATTTAAAACATATCTTTAGTAAATAGCTAAAAATCCATGCGGCCGGCGGCCCCCACATGGTGTTTCGGGGTGCCTCCATATGGGGGGTCCCGCTGGATCCGCGGACTTTCCAAAGCAAAAAACGCAGAGATAGCTCCAAAACAGGTTGTTGACAGGATGATAAACTGATATTGGTTAGTCCAAATAGATCAAATATTGGTGAATCCATATAGATCGTCCTGAGTCAATGGGAAAACCACTATTTGATCTATTTGGAAATCGATCAAAGACATCTGGTTGGTGGTTTGGAACATGAATTTTATGACTTTCCATTCAGTTGGGAATAATGAATCATCCCAACTGACGAAGTCCATCATTTTTCAGAGGGGTAGGTTGAAACCACCAAGCAGTTGATATGGAGTTGCCCTCTGGTAAACATACAAAAAATATGGAAAATCACAATTTTCAATGGGTAAATCCACGAACTAAATGGTCATTTACAGGATGATAACATGTTTTGTTTACAGGATGACTCAGTTGGATGAGTTTAAATAGCTGAAATGTGCTGAGATACTGTGGATGGGCCAGCGAAATCCTGCACCACCAAAAGGACCGGATGGTTGAAAGCCAAACAACATAATGGGATGTTTACCATCTATCAACTGGTGATTTGGATTTCGCAACCATCCGCAGTATCTAGTTGGGATGTTGAATTGGGATGTTTTTGCAATGTACCTTGGGCCTGTCACACATTTGGCCCTCGGGCACCTTCATGTTGTTTGGGCTTGGTGCCAACAAAAGCCATGTCCTGGTTTTGCAATAGCTCAAGCATCAAACATATTCAGGAAATTTAAGTTTGAAGGCACAAAACTTGGGTTTTTACAAACAATTGAGAATTTGACTAACACAAAGTGTAGGTTTCATGCACACAATGCGGATGCTGTAAAAGTGGGTATCAATCAGCACAATAGCAGGCGGGTCTATTTTTCGCCAGCACATGCCGGGAATGTAGAACACCGTGGAATGGACGCAACATGTGGATTTTGACAGCAATATGTGTAGGTTCACCCAACACAGCTAGTCATTTAACTGATTGGATCCCAAGTTTCATGCTATCCCCATTTTAACTGGTTGGTTTATTCTCTGATCATCCCATTGCTTTGAAGCCTTTTGAAAAGGCTAGCCATGACTCCCATCATATGGTCCACCATATGTGTTAACACCCATATGTTATGGTCCAACATCTGGAAATCCGTGCAACTCCACGATGGTTTCTTGTGATATTCAGGGGAAGGGATTAAATATCATTAGCCTCTGGTAATTTGTTACATAGCTCTTGAACATGACCATTTAGTTCGTGCATTTACCCATTGAAAATGGTGGTTTTCCATAGTTTTTTTTGTATGTTTACCAGAGGGTAGCATTAGAATCATTAGATATCCAAGAAAGTCGCCGGGTGCAATGTTGGGTAACAACCGCAAGAGGTCACAGGAATCGACGCAGATGAGAGGCATTATTTCAGGTTCCGATATTTTAGTACATTGATTTATCCATGTATGTATATATTAAGTATATATACATATATGTATTGCACATACACTTTTTTGTTTGCGAACTAACCCTGAGCAGCAATTGTAGCGGCAAATGGTGGTTGCCGCAACGGGGTTCTCTCAGAAAGTTTATCAGCTACGAAGTGGTCACATTTTCAAACAGAATCACATATCCCATAGGATCCATGTATGGTATATATAGTAACATTGGGGGTATATTGATGGGATCCATGTTACCATATATACTAGCACCATGGATCCTATGGGTATTTAAGGAAGACACTTCAACTTCAACCATCATTTTCGTTCAAAAGAAACGTCTCCGCATTTCAAAGGTCTTTTCCTGAGCGATGCTCAGAGTTTTGCCGAGGTAAACCCTCTAGTTATGGTTTCTACATGGCTATGGAAGCCATGGCCCATAGAAATAGATGGTAAAAAAGGATAAAAAAGGGTGATGTACCGCTCTTAAAAATGGGCGGATTTTCCATGGCAAACCGTTAAATAACCAAAGGGTATGGTGTTTTTTTTTTGGTGAAGCTTCTGGAACCTCCAGAAGATCCCATTTTTTCGATAATTTTCTGATGACATGCGAAAGTTTACATGTGGTCATCGGAAGCACATGATTTATGGTTTCAGACATTATTATGATATGATAACTTGACACAATTCTTTTCATATCCTTTGATACCCATTTAAATTTGCTTGCATCCCCAGAAAATGTTATTGTTTGTCAGAAGAGGATTCTAAACATTCTCGACAAACCTCAGCCAGAGTTTTTCCATATCCTGAGAAGATTCTGATGATATCCTTGGAACATTCTCATGATTTCCTGGTCTTATATTGTCTTCAGCTATCACACACACAATAATATTGAATGACATGGCTGTCATGATTGCACTACTGTATCTGTGGTTTATAACTTTGCAATCCCACTTCAAGGATTCAGAACGCTTGTGAAAATCCTCACCGCCGTTCCAGTTGCCGGGACTTCGAGCAACATCCTTTGCGGATTCAAAGCAAAGATCTTCTGCCCAAACACGGTGCGGCAAGTGGAAATCTAGGCTTTGACAGGATCCATTCCCCTTGTCGCACTGCGAGGATGCACGAAGCATGTCCTGCAGGGCTGCTGCTTTGACCCAACTATGGCAATGTCAACGTCACAATTCCACCTGGGGATGTAGGTGTTACTTGAAGGGTCAAGTAAGTGGTCAGCACCTGCTTGTAAAACCCAATTAGATATGAACTGATAAGCCCACTTAGGGGGCTTACTCATCAGGGTCGTTAATCTAACATGTAACATGACGTGCAAGTTCAATGGCAGAAGTCAGTGTTTCAGCATTTTTTCGTTCTTGCCTTTTCCGCTGCAACTCCATCCAGAAACCAATGTTGATGGCGCAAGGAGTTTAGGGGTTTGTTTTTTCCTTACCGTTTTTTGAAGCCGGCAATGCCAAATTTTGTATTATCAACTCCCTCCTAGCAGGAAAGAGTTCCCCCCAATTAAAAAGAGACGAGGGCATGTCATACATAAAAAGCAACGAACCTGCCTGCCAAAGGTCGAGATTTTTCTTTTCAGTGGCAACTTCCTCCCCAATGGGACATCCCTTCAAAACATTACTTTTTCAGCCATTAAGAAGCAATGAAAGCCATTAAATCATAGCCTGACTACCACAAAAATAGGATTTCTGAAAAGTGTGTTGTTTAATAGGGGGTCACGCATGTTGATTAATAAGGAAGGACCAACCCAAAGTAGCATTGCCAGACATTTTTTGGAATGCGGGCGTTGATGAATTCTGGGATGATTCTTAATTTATCGGGCATATTTTTTTCACAACAACGCAATCAGAGCGTCCAAAAGTTCATGCGGCGACGGTCCCAGTCATTGCCGCGATGGCATCTTCAGGGGAACATTAAAGATCAGGCCAGAATGTTAAGATCAGGCCACCCACCCCTTGACAACACACAAGCGTGGTATTTGTACCACGGCGCGATACACACCGTGGTCCAACTACATACTAAGCGGGATGATCCTTCAAGTAGTGGCCTTCAGAGTTGCTTCAAGGCTACGCGGCTTGTGTTCTAGATTCTAAACGTACAGAAACTTAAGTTTTTCAGCGACTAATGGTTTGGACAACCATGTGGCATGCACAGCGAAAAAGGAAATCTGAACGTTCTTGAAAACATCCAAACCAGTTTGCTGAAACATGGGAGACACGACGGACACGATGCATTTTTTTCCAAATGGGAAACTTGTGATAGACCAGGGGCTGTTGGGTTCCACATTTGCGGGGCACTACAAAGGTTTGCCTTGGCCAAAAGGTTTGATTTTTTGCAGACACACCGTGAAAACTAGGATTGCTGATTGGGGCCTGACAAATCCTTGCCCCAGGAATGCATCGTTAAGACAGGGCACCCCCATGTCCAGTGCTTATAATGATTTTTTCCTGTATGAAAACTACAAGTTTGGGTTAAAACTCGTTTCTGGAAAACCAACATTTTTTTTTGGAGGTTCCAATGGCTGATCAGTGTTGAAATCCTATTTACGTAATTTTTGGAGGTTAAAACTCCGGTTGCTACTAGTCACTGACTAAGTGACAAAATCCACCCACCATGATAAAAAATGTTTATTATTATTATTGGTTGGTTCATCGCAACTTTGATTTGATCGCCAAAATATCCGCGTTATTAGATTGTACTTTAGTTTTCTGGGTTCTATCCAAAAATGGAAATGGGTCAAAACCTATGAAATTGCCATATGGCCGGGGGAATAACCATCCATTAACCAGCTATGACGTAGGGTACCTAAGGTACCAGGGTTTTGACCCATAACCATATCGGGACAAACCAATATCAGTTTGTTGATGATCTATCCCCGTTATGCACCGATAAAATAGTTTGTTTTACCATGCAAACAATGAATATACATGGGCAATCCCACCACTGGTAGATGATTTAACATAATTTCTTCGGGAAACGTTTCCATATGCCCCATGGTATATTTTGTACAGGGACAAACCAAGTGATATCCCCATTCTAACCCACAAAATGGCGATAAGTATCAACCGACCCTGATTCTATCAGTTCCCCCTGTGTTTGATGATTGACCCCGGGTATTTGATGGTTCAAATTCTAAACCTCCAAAGTGTTGGGGCAAACCATGGCTGTCCTTTTCCTAATGGTTGGTTGATAAACAGAGGGTTCAGCCCCCATAACTTATACGTAACTTATGATAAATTTGGATTTGTTGAATGTGATTTTCTATTGTGGCATTGGTAAATCCATTATCTGGGGAACCTGTTTTTTTTTAAACCTCTCAAACAAATATGTGTAAATGGTATACCAGACCAACCCGTACCATTTTTCCCAAAAAAACGCATCATTGATAAGGCTCCCCAAAAAAAAACAATTGAGTCAAAACAATATGTTTATATTTGTTTTTTTTTTGGGGGTACCCTGCAACGATGGCTGGCAAAAACAAAGGTGTAACTGGAGAACAAACAAGTTCTTGGGTTTTCACCCCCTTTGGTAGCCGTGGTTTATAATTTGCATACAACCCATGAAACCCTATAACATGTACTGATTGGTGGTTTGGAACATTTTTTCCATAATATATGGGATAATCCTTTCCATTGACTAATATTTTTCAAGATGGTTGAAACCACTAACCAGTGTAGTTGGGTCATACTTCTATGGCTATTAAACTATTAATAAAACATCATAAATCAATAATAAACCAGCCATATTTTGAGGTTTATACCACCCAGTATTGCCAAAATTGAGCATGATTTACTCTCGTTTTACGAAAATTATATGCATAAGGTAAACTCACAGTTCGATGTGGAAAATCAACCATTTGTAGACTATTTCCCTGGGGAAACCTGGGTTTTCTACATCTATCTGAGTCTATCTGGGCAAATTATAACGACCTCACTGCGACCTCACTGGGAATAGGGGTGCTATCCCCAAATGACCTTATTTCAGGTTAGTGAAATATAGTAATTTACCCAGATCTATGTTCGTTTACCCTCGGGTATGAAATGTAAGGAAACACTTGCGTTAACTCGTCAGGCACTGGAGAAGTTGGACTTGCAGATGACTGCCACCATTACGAAGGTGACCGGACAGCGTTAGTGTTTGGGCCTGCGTCTTCAGCAGCGGGGGAAAACTTGAGCATTTCGTAGAGCTTTCCATGTATCCCAAATGGATGGTTTATGGAAAATCATGGAAAATCCATCTATAAATGGATGATTTAGGGGTAGCCCTATGTTAGGAAAGCTCGATAAAACCATGGATAAAACCATGATTTGATGATTTGATGCAGATGGTGGAGCTGCAGTTTTTTTTTTAATCACGAAAGCTAGCGTCAGCTAGCTGGAGTCTTCTTGCTTTAGCAAGTATTGGGGGGGCTGCTCAAGGACATCACGTGATTTTTCACGCGAAAGGGGGGCCCCCCCCTCCCCCCCCCTCCCCCACCACCACCACCATCACCACCATCACCACCATCATCATCATCATCGTCATCATCATCGTCATCATCGTCATCGTCCTCTCCATCGTCCTCGTCCTCGTCCTCGTCGTCATCATCATCATCATCATCATCATCGTCATCATCATCGTCATCATCATCGTCATCGTCCTCTCCATCGTCCTTGTCCTCGTCCTCGTCCTCGTCATCATCATCATCATCATCATCATCATCGTCGTCGTCCTCGTCATCGTCATCGTCATCGTCATCATCATCATCGTCATCATCATCATCATCATCCTCGTCATCATCATCATCATCATCATCATCATCATCATCATCATCATCATCCATCATCCATCATTCATCATTCATCATTCATCATTCATCATTCATTCATCATCATCATCATCATCATCGTTATTCAATTACATTTTATCATTATTGGCAATTATTGTCATTATCACGAAAGCTAGCGTCAGCTCGCTAGAGTCTTCTTGCTTTAGCACGTATTCCGGGGCTCCCCAAGGACATCACGTGATTTTTCCCGCGAAAGGGCCCCCCCCTGCCCCCTCCCCCATATATATCATTGTTATATATCATATATCAATATATCATTGTTGCATCCTCGTTGGGACGAACAATGCCGCGACACGATGATGACAGTCCCTCCGCAACTCACCTCTTCCCTTCCTTCTTTCTCCTACCCGCTAGCTTTCGTCATCCACCCCCGGCCTCAAGTTATAAAACTGATAAAACTATGATTCAAAACTTGGGTGAATGACCTAAATTGGGATGTAGAGATATATATATATATAAACCATCCACTGAAGTTTCCCCCACTGCACCATCGACTCGAAAATATACGGAATTTGATCATGATTTATCCCATCAAAATTGGGAAACTTGAGGTATCAATTGACCGAAAGAAAAGGTTTTACCCTCTGGTAAACATACAAGAAGCTATTGAACATGGCCATAGAAACAGTTGATTTACCCATTAATAGCATGGTGATTTTCCATAGTTATGTAAACGTTTACCAGAGGGTAGTATTCACAGTACATCATCCAGTTTCAGGGTTGATACCCTCTGGTAAACTAACATAACTATGGAAAATCACCATTTTCAAGGGGAAAATCCACTATAATATGGCAATTTTCAATAGCTATGTTTGTTTACCAGGTCGGGTAATTTTGATGTTTGTGCCGTTTGAGAAGGGAATTGAAGCAATTCTTCCAGATAGTGGGGATAGAGCTGTGTCCCAAAATGAGGGATCTGCTAAGGAAAGTTATGGTCATGTACTAATTTACCCTATTATGATTGTAAATTATAATGGTAATTTACCTAATTATATGTAATTTAATGATGTATGAGGTAATTTATCATGGTAATTCACCTAATTATAGTACTGTAATGGTAATTTACAATGATAAAATAATGTAATAGTAATTTATCATAGTTAAGGTCATGAAATTTTTGGACAATTTTCGCATGATAAAACCATTAATAAAACTTTGGCTTTGATAAGCATTTACCAGCTGGGATGCGCAACGACATGGGATTCCTCTGATCTGCTGCAACTTTGCTTTGAACGGGGTCTTGAAACTTTGGGTTTACTGTACTAATTTTATTTTGCCCAAGCTCGAACCTGGTATTAAATCGCCAAGATTCTTATGACATTTCCATTGTATGGATTTGTCTTAAATCCCTGTTATTTTGATGGTGACATTGGGTAAAATGATCCACGGATCTGACTAAAAATGGGGAATACCTCCATATACCTCCACTTTTGGACATGTTGATGGGACACATGGATTCACATTGATTACCCTAGGGTAAACTAACATCGATGTGGAAAACCTATGGTTTCCTTAGGAAAACAATCTACAACTCAGGAAGCCACAGCCACGGTGTGGATTTACGGAAAGAACACAATGGTTTTAATGGTTGGAGATTGAAGGGGTAAAGCTACAAAAAGATGTGGACAAAAGAACACATGGGGAAACCCATGATCTACATTTTTCGATATTCGTGGGTTTTCCACATCGAACTGTTAGTTTAGAGGAGGATAACATAATTTAGCTATGTTAAAATTCCGCGTAAACTACTAAGATCACTGTGAAGTGCTTGGATGAGGAAAAAAACCAAATTCTCCAAATTCATCATCCAGTTTCGACTGGATCTATATTCATCTGGTTGGTGGTTTGGAACATGAATTTTATGACTTTCCATATATTGGGAATACAGCCCGAGTGCTGGTTAAGAATCCGAAAGCTTGAGGTCCAGGGTCCCTCAAATTCTTATTTCCCCACCTGCCAGGTGAGGGTTGTTAGATTTTATGTCAGTTGCCTCCTCCTCCTCCTCCTTCTCCTCCTTCTCCTCCTCCTTCTCCTCCTCCTCCTCCTCCGCCTCCTCCTGCCTCGTCCTCCTCTCCTCCTCCTCCTCGTCCTCCTCGTCGTCCTCGTCGTCCTCGTCGTCCTTGCTCAACTGCGACCCGCGATCCACAGTGTTCTCTGCCGGACCTCAACCACGCCATCCACGCCCAGTGTTCCCTGCCGGACCTCAACCACGACCATCCACGCCCAATGTTCCCTGCCGGACCTCAACCACGACCATCCTCGCCCAGTGTTCCCTGCCGGACCTCAACCACGACCATCCACGCCCAGTGTTCCCTGCCGGACCTCAACCGCGAGTATCCACGCCAAGTGTTCCCTGCCGGACCTCATGTAGGAAGATATGGGACAAAGAATGTGCAGAAGAAAGTTAGAAAGAATGTCAGAAAGAATGTCAGAAGATATGCCAGAAGATATGCCAGAAGATATGCCAGATGCCAGAGAATGCCAGATAGAATGCCAGAAGATATGCCAGAACATATGCCAGAAGATATGCCAGATAGCCAGATATGCCAGATAGAATGCCAGAAGATTTGCCAGATAGAATGCCAGAAAATATGCCAGAAGATATGCCAGATAGATATGTCCCAGAAGATAGAAGATGTCAGATAGAGTGCCAGAAGAGAAGATATGCCAGAAGATATGAGATGCCAGAAGAATTGCCAGATAGAATGCCAGAAGATATGCCAGAAGATATGCCAGATCATATGCCAGAAGATATGCCAGATAGAATGCCAAATAGAATGTCAGAAGATATGTCAGATAGAATGCCAGAAGATTTGCCAGTAAGAAAATGTATAAATGTCATGGTGGGGATCACACGAAGTAAAGTAATTTTAAATACAGGCAAATTTACACTACAACAGGCCGAGGGTCCCTCAAATTCTTAAGGCATTCTTAGTATTAAATTGCAGGCATCTGCATAATTTGGAGCAAGCTTAAATAAGGTAACGATGGGGAGCTGGCAGATTTGACAAGAGGCATGCGAAAGTATGTCTTCAAAATCGAGCTACAGCACGATTTTGCGTTATACCGGGGTTTTGGCCGCGCTGGGCTCTATCGTGGCCGGAATCCTGCATAGCTGTTCCGGCTACGCTGGTTTGCGGCCTTGGTTGCCAAGACACGCTCGTGGTCATGCTTGGCATTCGTTTTACTATTTGATATTTTCTATTCTTGCAATGCGCTTGCCAAGCAGATTTGACAAGAGGCATGCGAAAATATGATTTTGTAGATCCTGGAAAAAAAGTTTTTTCCCCACCTGCCAGGTGAGGGTTGTTAGATTTTATGTCAGTTGCTTGCTCCTCCTCCTCCTCCTTCTCCTCCTCCTCTCCTCGTCTCCTCTCCTCGTCTCCTCTCCTCGTCTCCTCTCCTCCTGCTCCCTGCCGGACCTCAACCACGACCATCCACGCCCAGTGTGCCCTGCCGGACCTCAACCACGATCATCACCGCCCAGTGTTCCCTGCCGGACCTCAACCACGGCCATCCCCGCCCAGTGTTCCCTGCCGGACCTCAACCACGACCATCCACGCCCAGTGTTCCCTGCCGGACCTCAACCGCGAGTATCCACGCCAAGTGTTCCCTGCCGGACCTCATGTAGGAAGATATGGGACAAAGAATGTGCAGAAGAAAGTTGGAAAGAATGTCAGAAAGAATGTCAGAAGATATGCCAGAAGATATGCCAGATAGAATGCCAGAAGATATGTCAGAATATATGCCAGAAGATATGCCAGATAGAATGCCAGATAATATGCCAGAAGATATGCAAGATAGAATGCCAGATAGAATGCCAGAAGATTTGCCAGATAGAATGCCAGAAAATATGCCAGAAGATATGCCAGATAGATATGCCAGAAGATATGCCAGATAGATATGCCAGAAGAAATGCCAGATAGAATGCCAGAAGATATGTCAGAATATATGCCAGAAAGATATGCCAGATAGAATGCCAGATAGAATGCCAGAAGATATGTCAGATAGAATGCCAGAAGATATGCCAGATAGAATGCCAGAAGATTTGCCAGATAGAATGCCAGAGATATGTCAGAATATATGCCAGAACATATGCCAGAAGATATGCCAGATAGAATGCCAGAAGATATGTCAGAATATATGCCAGAAGATATGCCAGATAGAATGCCAGATAGAATGCCAGAAGATATGTCAGATAGAATGCCAGAAGATATGCCAGATAGAATGACAGAAGATTTGCCAGATAGAATGCCAGAAGATATGCCAGAAGATATGCCAGATCATATGCCAGAAGATATGCCAGATAGAATGCCAAATAGAATGTCAGAAGATATGTCAGATAGAATGCCAGAAGATTTGCCAGTAAGAAAATGTATAAATGTCATGGTGGGGATCACACGAAGTAAAGTAATTTTTGTTAAGCCAGGCTTGTCTGAGTTTCGTGCGGTTAGTGCGCAAAAAAAAACGTTTTGGTCTCCAGTACAAGGGCTCATGCCTAAAAAGATAAACGCAAAAAGGAGAATTTCAAACCTCACGTATAAGCAATAATTTAAGAATTTGGCAGTCAGGGTCCCTCAAATTCTTAACGTGCTATGTGTTTGGTATAGCTGAAAATATGTAGCCCGCCTTGGAATCGAGCCCCTCAAATTCTTATACAGTGAATTCTTGTACAATACTCAAGCTGTAATTAATCATCCCAACTGACGAAATCCATCATTTTTCAGAGGGGTAGGTCAACCGCCAACCAGTAATAGATCTGCTTAAAGAAGCAGTGATTCACACTTTGGACACCCATTGATCGCCAGGTGGAGTTCTGCAAGATCGTGAACCGTCCAGACATCGTGACCGTTTTCATGGAGGTTTGACAAATTGGGGGATTTTTGTGTGGAGGGGATGGACATTAGTTGGGGTATGATACCTAGATTACCCGACCTGGTAAACATACAAAAAACGATGGAAAATCATCATTCTTATAGGCAAATCATCTATAAACTGGCAATTTTTCATAGCAAACTGTTGGTTTACTGGCTGCTGGATGGATTTACCACGAGCCGGTCGGTTATGGAGCACAGCAAGAGACGGCGGGATCAAGAGCTGGCGGCTGTTCCTTGTTTGTCCATGTTTGCTGGTTATACAAATCCCAGATGATGCAAAAAGCCATCTAGAGCATCCCTAAAAAAAACCTCTATGTAATATCTAGTGTAACTGCTATTTCGCAGTGCCGAAATGCCCCATCCTACCCCAATAGATACCAATAACCAACTGGGGTGCAATGTGTTGGATCAACGCGGGGTTTCCCCATTCAAAATGACTACCCGGCCTGGTAATGACTGTTACAGTTTGCGAACTGGAACATGGCCCATAGAAATCGTTGATTTACCTAGTAAAAATGGTGATTTTCCAGTTACCTATGTTAAATTACCAGAGGGTGATACCTTGGATGATATTGGGCTCGGTGTCCCCGGTTTAAGCACCCCAATGCACCCTCTGATTATTTGACACAGCCATGGTCAGCATTTTTAAGTTCGGTCAATCATGGAACTTCATGGGTCATGGCTTCCAGTCCCCAAAGTGTCACAAATTCCTAGAGGGCACCCAACGAAGTTACAGAGATGTGAAACCAACCAGAATGAGGATATTTCATAGGACATCGAACGAACAATATCTGGTTGGTGGTTTGGAACATGAATTTTATTTTCCCAATATACTGGGAATTTCATAATCCCATTTGATTTTCATATTCTTCAAGATGGTTATTGCACCACCAACCAGATATGCTAGTCAGCTATTCCCATGCTTAATTAGTGGGTAATTACACATATGTTCCCCCTTTTTCGAGGGGTGTTTCCTCCCAACTCATGGTGGTTATAAATAAAAAAAACTTGGAACATCACCATATTCGGATAAGATACCTGACCTGGTAACCATACAAAAAGCTATTGAACATGGCCATTTATAGTGGATTTACCCATCCAAAACGACGATTTTCCATAGCTATGTTAAATTACCAGAGGGTACCCTCCAGTAAACTAACATAATTATGGAAATGCAACCAATAAAAATAGGATAAACTAGCTAAATCATCCAGAAAATGCATCATTTTCCTAACTGACTGATCATTTTTCAGATTGGGATTCTTCAGGATCCCTATTTTTTGCCCAGGCCGGCATTGACATCGTGGCCTTACTCCGGGATCCCGTTGCTCCGCCTGATGATGATTGGGGATGGCTGGGATGGAGGTTTCCGAAAGTTGGGGATCCCACAAACCATAGGGTTTTAATATGTTTCAATACGAAGTCATGGTCTAATGACTTGGATGAAAAAAAAGGGGTGCCCCCATGACTTAGGAAAGCCCCATATGTTAAATCCTGGGGACAAGAGTTGGGACTGACACGACCAACCAACGAGGTCTTACGCACATGAGCCAATAGGATTGCCATCTGAAAAACCCAAACCACCAGGTCTCTGAAAGTTTGAAGAAATCCAAAACTACCAGTGGTAGTAGTTTTTGTAATTTCTGCAAGCTGGTGGTTTGGTAGCCATAGTAGTAGTTTGTAAGAAATTACAAAACTCACTGGCAGATCAAGTTCGGATATTTCAAGACGATCCAGTTACGCCACTCTTGGGTAGACAAACACACTAACATCCAACTTGTTCAGAGCCAGATAGCTGTTGGGCGTTGGATTCCTCGCACACACACATGCACTCACAAGTCGCCCAAATTGCTCACCAATCCCCAGCATTTTTTTGAACCAAGCATGACGTCTTTATGATAAACACCCGAAAAATGGGACGATGATCAAACTTGACAATATTATGTATAGATATGCGTATTGTTTTAATATATATATATATGTTATTATTATATTATTATTGTAATATTATTATATTATTATTGTAATATTATTATATTATTATATTATTATATTATTATATTATTATATTATTGTATTCTTATATCTTTATATTATTTTTATATATTATTATTATATTATTATTATGTTATTATTATATTATTATTGTATTATTTGTATTTTTTTATTTTTATTATTATTATATTGTTATACTATTATTATTACTATTCTTCTTCTTATTATGAATTATTATTCTTATTAGTATTGGTACTATTATTTATTCATTATTATTATCTACAGTATTATTATTACTATTATGATTATCATGATGATGATTATTATTGTAACTATATGGCAGTGTGTCAAAACCTTGTACCCCTGGTGAACATCAAAATAGCTGGGATTTATGGATGTTCATTCCCCCTAAAAATGGTATTAATAGGTATTGATCCATAGCCATATGTGTACTAAAGAAACCCAAGAGTTAGACATCTTTAATATGGGTGGCGTTTTTACGCCAACCAGGACATCGTTTTCGCCGGGGATTCTGACATGAATCTGGATGAGTTCTTAGAGGCGCCTGCGCGTGGCGAAAGTTCCAAGTTCCCACTTGGTTTCAGTTGGGTGAAAATAAAGCAATTTATAGGTTACCCTCTGGTAAACTAACATAGCTATTGAACATTGCCGTTTATAGTGGATTTTCCCATGAAAAATGGTGATTTTCCATAGTTATGTTAGTTTAGCAGAGGGTATAGCATGTTATAAGTCCCTAGCAAAATCCTGTTACACCCAAATATCTTCTCATAATTCTCATATACTAACTTCCGTTATATCCCACAGTTACCCTCTGGTAAACTAAGCTAACTATGGAAAATCACAGTTATAACCATAGTAACTAACTATGCTTCCATAGTTTATACTAGTTATACTATGGTTTCACTTGGTTATCCTAGTTATAACCATAGTAACCCAACAAGTGGTAATACCCACCATAGTTGCAACCTTTTTTTCATGGGATAAGCGACGAAGAGCTCGGACGAATCCCATCACCCGGGGTAGCCCATTCCTGGGTCAAATTCAATCACTGGTTGGTGGTTTGGAACCATGGAATTTTATGACTTTCCATATATTGGGAATGTCATCATCCCAACTGACGGACTTATATTTTTCAGAGGGGTAGGTATACCACCAACCAGATCAATGCTTTACCATGTTTTACCATGGCAATGAGGCAATAAACATCACTTAGGCAACCCGTTTCTGGATATGAATTTTGGACCCACACGGGTTTCACCATACAGACATCAAACAAACCATGGGATTTAAGGCATTTCCAAGATTTTTTTTGTCAAAATCGGTATGGTTTTTGGTAACCCCTAATTTGTTTGAATGGGCTGTGTTTGATTTTTGTACTTATCACATTGGTAGAATTATGGTACAACACATGAACATATGGCAATGTGAAGATTTCATCTAGCAAGTGCTGGAATTCAACAAGAATGAGGGTATGGACCTTGGTATATGGCACCAAAAGATGGTTGGTGGCCTGGCATATGACAGCGATCTAAGGGATAAACAGCAGATGCGTGAGATAGGCAACTATATACAGCAGTCCATAAATGATGGTTGGTTGATTCAGATTAGACATGGTTAGACTAACTATACTCTATAGTTTAATGGCGATTATGAAGTAATCAACGAACCAAAAAAAATCGCGCCCTGCATGAATCAGTAGTGATTTTCACCATCGGTATGCGCAAGCTCTACTTGGGGGTGCAGTTCCATTGTGGTGAAGTTATCATAAGCTTTTATCCCAACTTATGAAGTTATCATCATGGTGATGTTTGATTACCAGAGGGTACCTCATTTTCACCAATCCAACTGAGTTGCGGCTGAATTTCTGTGGAAGTGTAGGTAGGACAATTCTTCGTCGCACCAGACGCACCCATGCATCCATTTTCCAATCTATTCTGACGAAGGTTTGCATGTCCCGCATTCTTAACCACACCCCTAACCTGTGGTAATTCAGCATAGCAGTGGAGTACATATTCTCACTGTTTTGGAGAGGAGTATCATCCAAACTTTGGAATCTAAACATGGGAAATGTCATCTAAAGAATGGTGAATATCACCTAAAAATGTGGCATAAACATCTCTAAACACTTGTGAAACATCACCCCCAGCATTGGACATCCCCAAAGATCGGAAAATCATCACCAAACATTCACATAACGAACGGGTTGAACCATTGGTAATATAACGAACTAGTCTTCATGGGATTCATAAACCAACAAACATAACTCGGGGCCCCTCACCTGGTCACCTTGTAGTATAACCAGCTGGTATACCCTCTGGTAATCAAACATGGCTGGCTTATCCCATTTATACATGGATTTAAGCCTAGTTCTGACCAGAATGATTGGAACAAGAGTAGAATAACTATAGCAATAGGAGCAAAAACATGTTTCCTATTTTTGTTATACAATTACTTATTACTAATAAGAGTTATCACTGATTTAAGTATCATTAAATAAATTTCAGTAGAACTACTTAAATAATCTATCTATATCTATATCTATATCTAGATCTCATTAGCTATCAACAAAACTCCAAAACTCACCATTTTTGATCATTTTTGGAAAAATCGTATTAACTCACGATTTCCATAGGCTTTTGCTCCGTCGAAAAAAGGGGACTTTCCACGTCCGACACGTCGGCCACGTCAGGAGCTCATCACGCTGCGTGGCGCCAACGTGGCGACGGTGAAGGACCTGGGACAGTTGAAGACTCAGCTCCTCGGCCGTTGGTGATAAAAGTATTGATTATGTATAAGATTTATATGAGAGATAATGATTTATAACGATATATTCATATATAATATAAAATGATATAATGATACATATATATATATAATAGTGATATCACGCAATATGATGAATTAGTGATTAATAGTGATTCATAGTGATTCATAGTGATCATCTTGGAAATATCATCGGGATATTCCCTCCAGTATTTCTTCACTGTTTGACCCTGCAAATAACCGAGTTTTAGTGGAAGCTACCCTCTGGTAAACCAACGTAACTATGGAAAATCACCATTTTTAATGGGAAAATCCACTATAAATCTGGTAAACACACAAAAAGCTATTGAAAATGGCCACTGAAATAGTGGATTTACCCATTAGAAATAGTGATTTTCCAGTTCGCTATGTTGGTTTACCAGAGGGTAACCGAGTTTTAGTGGAAACTAATCTTCCAAGCCCAAGATAGGCAGGGTCGAAGTGTTAATTTACTGGAGGGTAGAGGTTTCCTAAAATGGTGATTTTCCATTGTAAATCATCCAGCTATTGGGGTACCGCCATTTGTGGAAACACCCATATGGAAAAATAAGAATCCACATATTTCACTAATATGACTAAGATGGTTATATACCGATATAATTATGTCTATTCTAGTGGTTATACTACAGTATGTCTATTCTTCCCATCACTAATAGCAACACTATTTCAGTAGTAACAGCGTTAGTCTTATCAGTAGAACCACCAACATATTCAACTAATATGACTATGATGGTTATATAGTGAATTATTTAAATACCATGATTTTTAACCATCATATTAAATACTTTTTATAATCATAATTCAACTAATGCAACCGTAATTACATATAATTTTGGTTATATGATTTATACTTAATGACAATAACTCTAAACATATAGAAATGGGATATACTGCTGGGTTTATATAATGTTTGTGATAGATATACTAGTGGGTTTATATAATGATGATAAATAGATATACTATAATCTGATACATATATATATGAATATACTCATATAATACTAATAATATAACCATTTTACGGGGTTATAATGGAATATACTAACCATACCTAATTTGAATATGAGATTTTCCTAACCACAATATGGGATTTGGGAAAACTTGGTCATTTATATAGGAAAAACACATGAACATACGGGGATTTACAGTATAATCGACCAGTTTATGGGGATATACTCGGATTTATTTCACCAACACGATGAATTTGGGTGTGTCTGAAAATTGAGAAAACCCGAATCTATGGCCTTTTGATGCGGAAATGAGTGGGGTATTGAGACAAAAACATGTTGGATGGATGGCAACCACCAAGATCTTAAAATAGTGGCACATATCTTTTCAATTCTTTTTGGTTGCTATAATGGAGTTGAAGCTATTGAAGCTGACAGGAAAAAATATGTTTGAAACCATTGGATATAGGGGGGAATGGACAGGAAAATTACCACCGTTTGTGGCTCTGATTCACCTACAGAATAGGTTGAGTCGCATGTTGTAGCACCGCACCCCGGTTTGATGAGAAATAATCAACGGTTGAAGAATTAATACAATATGAGTTTTGGACAAAATGGTAAACCAACCATTTTACGATGGTGTATCTAATCGGGGTATAATGAGGATGTGATGGGATGTAACGGGATATACTTAAATGGGATACAAGAACCAATTTGATATGATAGAAATTTGCACGTCTGTGGCAATTTAATAGGAACCGTGATAAACCATTGCATTTTGATTTTTGGTGTTTTCACAAACACTTTGTAAGGACAGAATGGTGATCTGATCTGATGCACACATATATTAGTACACATATGGATCCATCACACGGCTAAATGGGGATGAGGCTATTAGTGCAGATCCCTCTGGTAAACTAACATAACTATGGAAAATCACCATGCTATTAATGGGAAAATCCACTATTTCAATGGTCATTTTCAATAGCTATGTAACAAATTACCAGAGGGTAAATCCCATTAGTATCCCATTGAATCACTATAAAATCCATATCCCATTGGGGCTATTAGTGCAGATATAATCTTAAGATATCTCGCGTTTTTTATGATGGTTGCTGGGATGGTGAACAAAAACACGCCAAATGCACTGCATGAGTCAGTCCCCGGAAAGATGAAGGCCAAATGGTACCCGACCTGGTAAACATACAAAAAGCTATTGAAAATGGCCATGTATAGTAGATTTTCCCCTTGAAAATGGTGATTTTCCAGTTCGCTATGTTAGTTTACCAGAGGGTATGCAACTTGCAAAGCCAGTATAACATCGTATAGCTGGTCTATATTAACTGGCTGAATAACCGTCATTCTGTTTGCGATCGCAACATTCGTAGCAACAGATAAAAAAAAGCCTCAATTCGACAGGTAGAAAGTATTCAAAAAGGAAGAACATCTGCGATCGCAGCAATTCACAGCTAAAAAGATGGGTTTGAAAACCCCTTACCACTGGCAGATGGGTTGGTCTGAAAATAGTGTGCCCTAAAATCCAATGGTTGATGGTCATACTAGTTATTTTGAGTTTATACCCCATTTTCAGACACACCCAGATTCATCATATTGGTTATATATCCCATTATATCCCCATTGATTATGGTTGGTTATAAATCCTCATTTTCCCTATATAAACCCCCAAAACCCACCAAAACCCACTGGTATATTACCATTGGTTGGTTGGTTCCAGAACCCCACCAGCGGTCCGTGGATTTCGCCCAAGGATTCTGCGGGAAATGAAACAGCGGCGCGGTCTGCGGTGAGCGGATCACTGATCCGCAACGGATCTGGGGATGGCAGATGGCGGTTCAGCTGGGGTCAAAACGCGTCGAAAAATGGGGGAGACCGAGATACCCATCAGCCATCGGTACGATTTTCCCATGATTTTGACGATAGCCATCATTTTATGTCATGGATAAACAAGTAGCCATAAAATGACATTTATATACGGAAAATAAGGGTAAACCAGAGGATATATATAGGGGTACACTATTTTCAGACCAACCCATTTAGTTTGATGATTTTCCGAACGAAGATTCTTCTTGGGCATTTCCCAGCTAGCCACGTTTGATTACCAGAGGCTGTGCATCTTTTTCAAATTTTAAGCTGTTGGATTTCATCAATGATGCAGATGAGTGCGTGAATCTTTTACAATTTGGAATGGCCACTTACAATGATTTACAATGGTGAGCTCTGTAGCCAGTTGCGCCTTGAACATATCCGTTTGCTTCCCTACCATTTCGCTGGAGTTCCCCCCTGCAAAACATAGTGTACTGCAAAACATAGTGTACTGCATGTACATAATTTCAGTCACTGCACCACAAAGTGTACCCTTTTTCGTGGTAACAGGAAAGTGTAGTCACAGTAGTCCTTTGATGATCAGCTTCAAAAGCTGCCGTTGGTTGTTTCAAGGCCCAAAATCCAGGTGCCATGCTGGGATAAGTTCAACGTAACTTTTTCAGAGGGGCTAAGTTGTGACCGACCTAAGCCAGGGGAGAAAAAGATCACAACTTAAGTGTGAATTGACCAAACCATCATATTCTTCGGTGTCCAAAATAGGGTACCCCATGCTACCACATTTGTGAAAATCATCATTTTCCCCGTTGACATGTTCATTTTGTAATTGGTGGTAACATTTACCACATTTTTAGGTCAATATTTCATCATATCCGAATCATATCCACCTTGTACGTAATAGGTTGAACCACCAAGAAAACCCTTGTGATCTTTGAACGTTCCAACTCACCTCCAAAGGAGGTGAAAATCCATTGCCAAAAGGTGCGCGTTTGAACACTTAGAGACTTAGAGTCGAGCTCCCTAAAGCTCTGTGGTAGGTTTCAACGATGTTGAGTCATGATTGGACTTTGGTTTTCGATTTAGTTGAGAAGCACTTGCAGCTATTTCGAGTGAGTTTTGGTTTATCATTGCAATTGGCTTCTTGATTGTTTTATTGGCTTTGTGAAGCAAAGCAACCACCTCTTTATGCGTCGAACCCGCAAATGCGCGTTGAACCACGCAACGACCTGCACGCGAAGCACGTGCTGTGGTGCTGTGAGGGCCTTTGACAGCATTGTTCGTCTCAAAAATTGGAAAAACAATGGACCTCTACAACCCCGCTGGCTTGGACCGTTTGGGGATGTTTAATATCAGGGGGATGTCACTACATGATGTCCAACACCGATGCACAGGACTCGTGACGTAGTGACTACTGGTTTCAGCAGCCTAGTACGGTTCAACTTTCAATTCCGCGATTCATACATACTCTCCAGTCAGTTCGCATGGATATGTAAAACATCACCAGTTGTGGATGACTTCCTCTGGAAACCCATGGATGTCCTAATATCTGTCCTCTTGGAATCAGAGGTTTCCTCTGGGAATCGATGATTTTCCCAGCGAACTAAACCTTCATTGAGTCAACCGGGCTTTCCCAGCCATGTTGGAATGCCATGTTGGTATCCTGATCATTTGAGTTCCGAGTTTTGGAACCAACGACCTCCACCCTTGCCATAGCATGCCATAACGGTTTCTGACGGTTTCCGGGTGTATCTAAGAATATTGGATGCCCGCCGTGTTGAGTCGACTGTCAATGGGGACCATGTTTTTCAAACGACTGGAGTTTTGCGGCAAGGCCAATGCTTTAGGTAGCTGGGGAATGTGTGCGATTTGACGCAGCACGGTTGGCTGCTGTGAAGGTAACCGGCGGATGCTGGTCCAGCACTGAGGGATTTTCTCAGTTCCATAATTTGTTGATGCAAACCTGTGGGGCTTGAGAAGTTCAGAATGTTTTTTTTTCCATCTGCTCATTAGTGAAATCTCGTGACTTGAAGAATCTTGCGAGTTGCTAAAAATGGGTTTTGACAGCTGCTACAGCTCAACAGCATGATTGAGTTTTTTGTATTTTTCTGTTAAATTGCCCTTTTTGCGTCCCGTGCTATGGAATGCCTGGCCGTTGTTTGGTTGCCATTTCCGTGTTGGGCCTAGCCCTGGCCCGTCCAGGCCTGGAGCCAGCTCGTGAGGCACTCTACCTCTATGCCGACTCTAAGGCTGCGGAGACACCAAAAAGAGATCATCAAACTGCAGAAGGGAGACAACCCCCCCTACAATGCCCTCATCTACTCTGTTTCGCTTTCACATGCGGAGCCGAGCTGCCGCTGCATCTCTGGCTGCGAAAAATCCAAAGAGATGTCCGGTGCAAGTGGCCGCCATAGGGGTTTTGCATTGGAAGTGACAGCCCCCTATGCGGCCACCTACACCGGGCCTGAGGGTTTTTTTCAGTAATTAAGTTTGACAACTATGTGGAGGAGTTTGTTGAGAAGTTGCCGATCAGCCCGGAGCTGAGGTCCCTGAGGTCCTCACCAGAAGCCTCGGCAGCGTAAAGGCAGCAACCCCTCCGAACCAAAGGATTCGGTCACTTAGACCATCTTAGACCCGTTGATCTCAGGACCAATCCCAAGTCCCCACAAGTACCAGGAATTGCTCCACCATGTCATGCCATGTCTGCAGAGACGAATGCGAAGAGATCGCTTTCACGATTTCTTCGCATTCATCCCATGGAGAACATGGGTCGAGGCCGAGATCTTGGGATGCTGTGGCTGGGCACGAAAGGTGAGAAGGTTGAATGGCTGGAAGAATGTTGTACTGAATACAGCATGATCAACGGCTCCAGCCGGGAGCTGATGCGTAACTCAGTTCCGACACCCTCAGCAGGTCCAACTCACCTCCAACACCGCAAGGAAAGGTCGGCTGAAGAAGATGGAGACCGAACCGCCAAAAGAAGTGGTTCAGGGAGGAGATCGATGAGGAGAAGCAAGGCCCAACGTGGCTCAGACTAGGGACAGCCCCTGCACCTCCGAAGCTTTGAAGTTTGATCAGTGCACTTCCGCAATGAAACGCCAGCCTTCGAAACGTACATTTTCATACATTTTCTGGATTGATGAAAGCTGCTCAAGAGCGCAGGGCACAGATTTCTTCGGATGGTAGTTGAAGGATCACTGACCCCAGCCGCCGCATTCGGAAAAAGACCCTTTGCCTTTTCAGGACGATGGATCTTTTTTGCAGTGCATCTTGTCTTGAAATTTCTCGGACAGCCCTTCCAAATCTTTACGCTCGGAAAAATCTAACATAGCTATGGAAAATCACCATTTTTTCATTGGATGTTAATGGATGTTATAGGCAAATCATTCATAGATGGGCAATGTTCAATAGTTACCCTCTGGTAATTTAACGTAGCTATTGAAAATGGCTATTAATAGTGGATTTTCCCACTAAAAATGGTGATTTTCCATAGCTATGTTAGTTTACCAGAGGGTATGTTGTTTTTTTCCAGATCTTTCGGCATGTTTTTTCTCTTCCACCTGACAGCAGCCTGGCACAGATCATTCGTTTCTTCAGGTCTTTGAGGTCGACTCAAAGTTGACTCTGCGGCAGGCCACCCTTGGGATGTTTTTTGTTGTCTGAAAATAGGGTAGCCCCGGATTTGATGCTTTATATTGCTTTATGAATTTGTTTATCATTTATTTCCCTACTCAAGGGCCATTGGATGGGTATATATATATATATATATCCATTTTTGGATAAAGCCATATCAGATCTGATTGCAACTTGATTTGCAGACATCTTGTGACATTTTGCAGCAGTACGTAGCAGTAGTGTTGCCCTTTTTCGGGACTTGCAGGAAGTTGGGCAGGAACCCCCTAGGAAACAGTTCAATTCAATCAATTTGGAAAGTGCAGATGGCCAAGTGAGTGCTTTGGGGTGCAGCCCACATGCTGCTTGAAATATGAAACATGGGGATATGATGAAATTAAATATGAAGGTTGCAGCTGCAAAACTGGGACATTGCTGAGCCATGATGCTTGAACTGGTTGGGGACTGGGCTTAACTCAGCAACACAACAAACCTAACATGCCATGATTGTTGGCTTCCAGGTCTGAAATTGGTTTATACGTTTATGTTGTGGGTGACACACCTAAGAGATGCACAGGACTTGTGACAAAACTATTTTTTCCGGCAGCCTAAGTCTTTCATGCTTCCAGCTTGCCTGGGTGTTGTTCTGATTGACGGCTACGTTTGAACGGTTCAACTTTCAATTCAGTGATTTATACATACTCTCCAGTCAGTTCGCATAGATATGTAAAATTCACTGTTTGTGGATCACTCTTATGGACACCTATGGTTGTACATATCTATGTTAACAGTTTACTGGTGTGTCTAATTCTCCTGATTCTTTTGAGAAAGGGTTTGTTGAACCAACAGCCTCCACCCCCAACAATTTCAACTGGGACCATGTTAATAACCAACTGGATTCTTGAGATGGCATATAAAATCATATAAACATATTAATTTATAGACCAGCTCCAGTTTTGCCATGAACACCTGGTACTTGGCAGCGAATCTGATGGGAAAATCTGTGACCTAGGGCTAGCTGGCTCGGAAGCCCTATGGGGCCACAGATTTCCGTATCTGTTTAGTATTAATCATCTAATGATTGGGATACCCAAACACTTGATCCATACCCGAATGAGTACAAATTTGGCGTTTGGCCCATGGTTTTCGACACCCGAAAGAAGATGAGAAACATGAAGTCATAGGTATTTTGTTTGTTCGAAACAAAGAATGGACTTGAGAATTTCCCCACGTCCAAAAAAAGGAACTATGAGGTCTTCCAGGGCTTTGTTGAATGGCCAGAAATCCCGGGGCTGACACCTGAACCGACCAGCCGAGCAGCTTTCACTTGTGCCAGGGCTGAGCAGGCGGTTTTCCTGGGCAGTCATCTTACAGATGGGTTATCCCATCTGTGAATGGGTTGTGGCTTAGGCAGATAGCGTCATCATAAAAGGTGAGGCCCCTGCGAGAACTAAGTTGACCTACAAATTGGTGCCAGGGTTTACGCGGAATGTAGCTATGGTGAATGGCAACTTATAACTGGAGGGCCTCACCTGAGTAGATTGCTTCACCATATCTATAGTTCTCTTGGTGGACCCCATTTACCAGCCACTTACGTCGGACGTCGCCACCGTGCGAGCGAACATGCAAAAAGATGTCCGGAAAATGCACGCGGAGAAAACCAACCAACATGATTTACCCTCCAGTAGTCAAACGTGGCAACAATCACGTATAGATGGAGGTGTAAATGGGAAAATCATTTAGTCTACACGTGGAGGATTTCGCGTTGCCATCTTTGATTACCGGAGGGTACACATTGTGAATGCCTTGCTGTTGTGGTTTCGATTTCATGAAAACTTGGGGACCACGGCAAAAAACAAGGCAACCAGGGTCTTTACGAAGATAGTTTCAGATTTGAAAACAAGGGATGCCCTTGTATCAGTTTTTGGATTCATGATGGATTCATCTGGGTAAATGACATAACGACCTTACTGATCTCCCTCACTGGAATCATGGTTAGGATTCGGGAAATCATCCCCAGCCATGGCCGAACAATTCAGGTTAGTGAAATATTATAATTTACCCAGAACAATATTGAGGAAGTGACTTACCACATATCTATCACCATGGGGATGGGGATTCAACTAAGTGAAGCCTGAAAGAGTGCTTGTTAGATTTACCCAGATTCATGAAACAATCAAGAATATCCTTTAGATTTGGGCGGTCTCATTTCCAGACAGAACGTCGAGCTTTTTGCTTTTGCCCTTGACTGCGTCCGTGCCGCAGCGAAATCAGCGCCAAATTCTTCGTAGTCTGTGACTCAGGGTCCTCCAAAAAGTCTCCATCTTTTAAAAGGTTTAGTCTCCAACTGGTGGAAAAAGGATTTCATGTTGCCCAACTGGTGGTCACCAGACATACCTCGATCCCTGATGCACTCATACGATTTTTCGAGATCTGCAGTGATTTCTTCGGGGACTTCGAGGACCCCTGCATCAAAACTTCATGGCCGCATGGAGCTCGAGCCCTCTCGGAGGTTCAGCAACGGCTCTCAACGATACAGGATTTGGAGAATCCCCCGTGCATGGATCATTTTTGAGGGAAACCACGGCGTTTTCCAAATCTCTGTTAGTTTGTTGGACATCAGGAAGACATTTTCAAGCAGACCCCGATGGCCCGATGGCCCCAGTTTCTTCAGTAGTAAACCATGTGAGAAGCATCCTAGGTGAGCTCTTGCGGGTGCCCATCTGGATTTGGACACCACAACTCATTTCTCTGAGCTTTAAACATCTTTAAACTATCAGCTGAGATAGTTTTTTTAGCATCCAATAAACAATTTTCATGCAAGTGTGGCAATGGACCACCATCCACTTGCATCCATTATTGTATTATATTGTATTAATGATCATGAATGTAGGATTTTTCTCCTTTAACATGTGGATTTCCATGATTTTCCATCATGACTTGTTCTTGTTCAAACTCTTCTTCTGTTTCGGATTTCCAAGCGCAAAGCATTCGGGTGGGGCATCCTGATGGATTACGGAAAGCTGAATTGAGCAGTGGCTGCTAAAGCCCTGTTGATTGATGATAGGCTAGGGGATTATACTACCCAATATATTGGGGATTTGATCGTAATCCAAGAACGGGGAATCTTGCGAGTGAAAATGGGTTTCGACAGCTGCTACAGCTCAAAACAGCATTTCTGCTGGTTGGTGGTTTGGAAGATGAATTTTATTTTCCATAATAATTATGATTTATATGGGAGAATCCTTCCCATTGACTTTCATATTTTTCAAGATGGTTAAAACATGTTAAAACCACCAACCAGCAATATATTGGGGATTATAATAATCCAATAGAGGAATCCCTATTAACCAACCAGTATAATGGAATGATTGAGGGATTTGGAACACTGCTCAATTGTTAACATCATGAAGTTGAGCACGTCCGATTCTCCAAAATGGCTAAGAAAATCTTGGTAGTACCACTGATATTTTTTTCCAGCAATCTACCATCTGGTAATCAAACTTGGGCTGGGAAATCCACAAACTAAGCGGAGGTTTTAGGCACAACATCATGACGACCGAAGAGTTTTTGGGGTTTTATGCTCCAATTCCATCCAATTCCTCGGAACTCATGTCTTGTGGCCATTCTCCGATTTTTTGCCGCTTCAAATCTGTAGTTACAGCTACGTATTTTCTCGCCACACACTTGGTTTCTTGGTGGTTTTTGGGCACTTTTCATGGAATTTTCCATATTTGTCCCCCTGGAAACTTACGCTTCTCGGCGATCTTGACTCCCAGGTTGGGATAGGAAAGCCACGAAACATAGTAGTGATGACCCCTACTTAGCTAAATCTAAGTTGGCTACCAGAGTAACTGTTGGATGGCGATTATACATGATTATACCATATTTATACCATATTATACCTACACCAGGAGATGGATTAATTGAGCCATTAGACATGCCGCTGATTTGATATTCTTGGTGGTTATACTACTTGGTTGATGGGTGATTTTTACAATTTCAAACAGGAATAGTTATCAAACAACTAGTCTCAAATCGCCATGTTTTATGGTTAATTCACCCAATTTCGGCTGAACATCGTGTGCCATAAAATCATCCCATGTTGGCATCATGTTTTTAATTCACCTCAAAAATCCATCAAAATTCACCCTCAAAATCCACCATGGTCCTCCACGCTTGGCAACAAAAGGTGCCCAGAGTCATGGTGGATTTCATGGTGGCTTTTCGAGGCGCGCGAGCGACATTTTCGGGCGAGGGTTTTCGTTCTGTGGGAACAAAATCGCTGGTTTTTTTGTAGGCTCTGGGTGAATCATGGTTTATTTTAGGGAAATTATCCCCAGCCATGGCCCAACAATAGCTGGTTAGTGACATATTATTTCATTTACCCAGATAGCTGGTTGATAAGTTCTGTTTTAGATGTAAAAGAGCTGGTGAAACAACGTACTAAAATTACAGAACTAATTGTTTTTGTCCCCGTCGTTGAGTTCGGGGATTTCCCATTTTGACATATTTAAACCACCATGTTTTCTTCGATGATTTTCCCTATTTTTTTTTTACCTCCATGAATAGTTCGTGGATTTCCCATGTTTGAATAGAGGGGTATCATCTACGAGGTGGTGCCCCCTATTGCCCATCTACAAAACTGTAGCTATGGGTAAAATCACGGTGAACCCAATAACTGGTTGGTGCTTTGGAACATGAATTTTATGACTTTCCATATATTGGGAATAATAATCCCAACTGACTTTCATATTTTTCAGAGGGGTTGAAACCACCAACCAGATAATGTGGGTAAAACAGTGCCATAAACCAGCCAACTTAGCGATCTAAATCCACATATGTCAGATCATTTTGGTAGATGAAATCACCATTTCTGGTGGTTGAACTCCCCGATTTTTTTGCAGGTGATGGAATCGGGGAACCCCTGTTGAGGTCTTTGCTTCGCTTTGACCTGCTGCGCAAGGCAGCAGGGTGTGGGGTCAGACCTTCATTTTTGGTTATTGTGACCCCCGAAAAGATAGGTGAAGGTAATTTTTTTTCAAGAGGGTAATTATAAATAGGGGATAATAGGGGATAGTATAGTATTATAATGCATTATATTTCCATAGTCCTGTTATATAACTAAAACTTACCTTTCCATAGTCATAGATGAAGCTTATTATTATAGCTGGGATGAAAGATGGACAGAGTAATGATGCTTACTAACCTTAATCCCAAGAAGATAGATGAAGGTAACTGGCTCCAATCAGGAGAACCTTGGGCTGAAAGTGTAAGTTTGAAAGCCTGTGGATTCTCGGGGAATTGTCGTGATTTTTCAATGGTATGTAAGAATGATGGTTGATGCCAAATAGGCTAGAACGAAATGGGGGAGATGAAACTGCATAATTAGATGGGGAGATCATGGTAGCTTGAGAGCACGATAAGTAGTCGGGCGATACGCACTGATTGAATGGGAATAAGGAATTTATCATGATTTATCCGCGAACTGGGAATCCTACCTCAACCAATGAGTAGAAGGAATAAACGCAAACAACTCTGGCCACGAAGCAACCACGCATGGGATTTTGACCAAAATAGGAACTTGAGCCACAACACTTTGGGAACCAAAACTGTTTTTGGCCTTGGAGAAACACAGATGGAACCGCAACAATAGTTGGAGATTCCCAACGACTTGACTGGACTTTGACTAATATGTTGTTTCCATGGTACCTTTGCTCTATACCGCCGAGTGTCTGGCAAATTTGAACGTGGGGTAAGCATGTACTCACAAACTTGGTAAGGTCTTGCTTTATTTAAAGCATCCGTTGCAGCAATTTGACATAATTTGAGGATATTTGACGATATTTGACCATTTTCTCTCACCCCACTAGGTTAAAACCACCACTCGTGAGCGTTTGCCGAAGATTGAAACCGCATTGGTATGGCTGGGGTAACACTTTGGATTCGCATCCACTTAAAACGGGGTTTTCTTCAAATGGCACTACCCTTTGAGGCCATTTCAGTCTGGGGCACAACACTGAGATGTTTCCCGGGCCGTGAATAAGGGGCATGTTTCCTGGAACGTTAGAGTAAAAACATGTAAAAACCATGCAACAAGTTGGTGGAGTTTCCCTTCACCCAATCCATCCAAACCAAGTAACTTAGTTTAAATCTATGGCCATTCTCTACAAACATCATTAGTCATTCTTGTTCTTCCCCCTAAATGCATGAGATATCCACCATATTTCCATATATTTCCCATTGGCCCAAAGATGGCCCAGCGAGAACTCGCAGAATCCGCCCGAAATCGAAGGTTTAGTCAAGTCCAAGCTGTTCGGGACCGGTTGCGCTTGCCACATGTGAAGCCGCGGTTGAACGGTTGAACTGGGAAAACCCATGG